ATTAATAAATAATAAATAAAATAAAAGATAATAAATATTATTATTATATCGAAAAGATAATTAATATATATAAAAGAATAAGATAGAGCTAAGCTTAAAAATCTTAAATTTATATGTGTAACTAATTATAAATTTAAATTCTATATACTTTTTAATTAAATCGACTAAGTTAATTCGATAGCTCTCTCGCGCCTCTCTTATTAAAAATTTATATATAAAAGTTTTATACTTTAAAGTACTTAGCTTATAATATATATAGTTACTTTATAATTTCTTAAATTATAAAACTCGCTTTACGTTTTCTAACGCTATAAAAATTATAAAGTTTAATCTACTATTAATAAATTAAATAAATATTTAAATATAATAGTTATAATAGTTATATTAAACGCGTTTAAAATTAAATAATAATTTTTTTATTTATTTATTATTCTTTTATTATTTTATTAATTTTATTAATTTTACTAATTTTATTAATATAAATATATTTATTCTCGATATTCTTCGCTTAATTAGAGTTTCTTATTAACGTCTCTAAATTATCTTTTAGCGAATTTATTACTATTAATAATCGAGATCGTAAGCGAGCTTAATAGCTATTTACTATTACTTATAAACGTATTAAAAAACTCTTAAAAAGAGTTTAAATAAATATATTCTCTTAAGTTAGCGATAAATAGATTAAATTAATATTTAAATATTATAATTATATTAGACGTATTCGAAATTAAATAATAATTCTTTTATCTATTTATATAACTATTCTTCTTTTATTATTTTATTAATTTTATTAATTTTATTAATTCTATTAATTTTATTAATTCTATTAATTCTATTAATTCTCTTAATTTTATTAATATAAATATATTTACTTTCGATACTCTCGTATTTAATTAAATAAGAGAAGAATCTATAATAGACGAATACGAAGAATACTATAAAGAATATTACGAAGAATATTATAAAGATAGTTATTAATAATAATAATATAATAGATTTACTCTTTACGATCTTATATTAATTTACTTAATTAATATAAGAGAAGTTATTATAATAAACGAATACGAAGAATATTATAAAGAAATTAAGCGATAATAAAATTTTTAATATTAAGAATATAGCTTAACTCTCTAAGATTCTACGTTATATACTCTCTATAATTTTATATTAAATTATTACTTAGTAAGCGAAGAATACTACTATAATTTAATTTATTATTCTTATTATATTAAGAAGTAAAAGAAGAAATTATAATAGATAAATACGAAGAATACTATAAAGAAATTAAGCGATAATAAGATTATTATTATTAAGAATACGACTTAGCTCTTTAAGATTTTACGTTATATACTCTTTATAATTTTATATTAAATTATTATTTAATAAGCGAAGAATACTATTATAATTTAATTTATTATCTCTATTATATTAATATAGTATATTATTATAATAATATTATAAGAGAAGAATCTATTACGACGATTATAGTTAATTAAATCTCTATAAAAGAAATATCGAATAATATATATTTAAATAAATTAAAATTATTTAATATTTATAACTATTTTATTATTCGAAAGATTTTACTACGATAGAAGATATTATAAAATTTATATTATTAATTAATATATTATCTTTATTTCTTTTTAATATTTTAATACTTTTTATTATAAGAATATAGTCTTTCTCTATTTTTTATAAGTCTTAGAATTAGTTATTATAGTAGATCGATTTATATCTATACTTCGAGATTTTTACTTATAATTAATTATATATAACTCTAAATTAAGTTATTAATAAGACTAACTTATTAATTATAGCTTTAAACGATTTATTAAAAAGATAACTTACTTAATTAATAAGATATATTAAAAATAAGATTATTAAGTAGATACTTCTTTCTTAAATAAGAATATAATTAATTAGCGATTTATAATAATAGAAGTAGATTATTTATTATATAGAAAGTAAGTAGAGTTTAATTTAACTTAGAGTTAAGACTTTTATCTTCTTTATTAATTTTATAATAGTAAAAGTAAATTAAAAACGTATAGTAAGCGATTAGAGTTCGATTTAACTTAGAGCTAAAGCTAAAATTTTATTTAATTTAAAAAAATCTAATTTCATTTAACTTAGAAAAGTTTAACTCTATAAATTTAATTTATAAATCTTTACTTATTAATAATAAGAGATTATATATAATAATTTATTATTTTACTTATAAAAAGTTTAAATATTTTTTTTATATCGAAAAATACTTAAATATAAAAGTTAATATCTCTTATTTATTTTATTATATAATATATATTAAAATAAAGAAGCTATAGACTCGAAAGAATAAATTATCTTCACTTCGCTCTCTACTTTACTCTTTATAAATTTAATTATTTATTTATTTATATATATCGTTATAGCGATACTCTATTTACTTATTTACTTATATATATCGCTATAATAACTTTTATAAATTTAATTATTTAAAAAATAAAGAGAGATTATAATATTTAATTAAAGTAATAAATTAATTAATAAGATTATAATTTTTTTTTAATATATTATATTATTAATTTAGCGAGTATTATAATAATTATCTTAAGAATTATATATTATAAAGAAATTTCTATATAATATTACGCGTTTATTAAGATATATAATATTTTTAAATATTAATATTATTATTATAGCTAAGTTAATTAAATTTTTTAATAAAATAAAATTAAAAGTTTACTTTTTAATTACTATACTATAGCTTCTAATTTAATAAAAATCTATTTAACTATTTATTTAACTTTTATTAAAAATTCTAAAAAAAGCTATATTATATAATTATATATTTTTATTAAGAATTATATATATATAGAGTATAAATATTATATATCGAGTAATATATTAAAAAATTAAGTCTTAATAGAGTTTTCTATTTAAATCTATTTTAAGATCGATAAAATTAAATTAAGATTATATATAAAAGACTATAACGCTTAATAATATTATATATTAAATTAATATAATATTAAGATTTAATATATATAATTAATAAATATAAAAGAAAGTATATTATAACTTATATAAAGAAGAATAGATTTTAATATTAATAATATAAGATTTATATAATATTAAATTTTAACGTATATAAATAAATATATAACGTTAAATTTTAATATATATAAATAAATATATAACGTTAAATTTCGATATATATAAATAAATATATAATACTAAATTTCGACGTATATAAATAAATATATAACGTTAAATTTTAACGTATATAAATAAATATATAACGTTAAATTTTAATATATATAAATAAATATATAACGTTAAATTTTAATATATATAAATAAATATATAATATTAAATTCTAGCGTATATAAATAAATATATAACGTTAAATTCTAGCGTATATAAATAAATATATAACGTTAAATTCTAATATATATAAATAAATATATAACGCTAAATTCTAGCGTATATAAATAAATATATAATATTAAATTTTAATATATATAAATAAATATATAACGTTAAATTTTAATATATATAAATAAATATATAATATTAAATTTTAATATATATAAATAAATATATAACGCTAAATTCTAGCGTATATAAATAAATCTACGTCCTTATGGAGTAATACAAGCCTACTATCGTTCGCTGTTGGGTGCCCAAGACAGAGCTCGATGCTTGGATGCTATTGGCAAGAGGTACGAAAGTACGCTGAAGTTGCCTTTTGAACTTTGCCACTCACTGCTCGCCAGTCACACCCAAGACGCTGCTTCGCATTTCACAAACCCTACAACAACCTTGAATGTCTTTCCAGTATCCCATACTGTCCTGTCTAACACAGCGAAGCTATACATCCAAGCCTCCAATCAAGGGAGTGTATTCTTCGAAATGCTCTTCATATGGACTTCCGGATCTTCTGCTGCATTGGAGTTCGCTTGCTCGACTCAGATGGTTGCAATGATTTTGTGCGTCCCACTGTGCGAGCCTGAAGCCTTATTCCCCAAGATGATAAAATCATTGACGCCCTGGTCCGTGGCTTGCGCTTTGCTTTGGGCTGTTGCGATTGCTTGGTTTTCATTGTTCCGGTCTTTATGAAGAACGATTCGAAGGTCTTGGGTACTGACGTCGTTTCGTCGTGATCACACTATCCGCGAATCCAGAAGTTGAAGCTTTTCTTCTATCTGAACCCTGCTTGGCCAGGGTATCAAGATCTATTTGTGAGGGACACGCAAATCGACTTTCTCATCCCTCTTCAGGTGCGACCCCCATCTCACATGCTCTCGTCACTCCTATGGAACTCATTGGACGGCAGTAGGCTTCGTACTCTGATTCTGCGCGTTCTGTGGATTTAGTGCCCGCCGCAGTGAAGTCTGGGTCAACCAATAAGAATATTTCCGGCTACTGTAGGCGGACACCGATATAGCGGCTGACGGCGGAGAGAAGAAGGTGCAGCTCGGAGCGAAGTTTCTCAGCGTACCCTATCTTCAGGCACCAGCTCGCACGCTAAAAATTTATCTTTTAAGATTCAGAAACTCGTTCGCTTTCGTCGTCTCTCTCAAATGCTGTCATACGCTGACTAACCCGACTACCTGCCTTCCATGCACTTAATTGGCATAGTCGCAACGCTTGCTGGAGTAGGTCTCTATCTGCGCACACGACCGCACCAACCCCACGTAGAGACGATGTTTCCGGATGGCTGTGTGCCCTTCCACAAGTTGCTACTCGCAACATGGTTGCACCTCGGCACCTGTTGGAGCGCTTTTCTTGTTGCGAGCTGCTACCCTTAAGTCGCAATCGTCAAGTTCTCGCTCATGCCGTAACCCGAGACCCGGGAATTATCGTGATATGATCAGCTCTTCTTCCTGTTCTCTCTATATATTGGAGAAGGCCGTGGTATCCCTCTTGTCATTCTCAGTATGTCTCCATCTGCAAAAGCTTGATTACCGAGTTCAAATTTCCGAAAACATTGCAAAAGCCTGTCTTTTCTCACAATGCAATCTTCAACCACTCTCTTAGTTCTTCTAAGCTTTGTGACTGCCCTTCTCGCAAGTCCAATCCGCCAAGGAGCATCAACAAGCTGTCTGAGCGATCCAAAATGTGGCCCAATTCCTGGTCAGTCTTGGCTATACAGCGACTATTCACACAAAAGTCCACCGTTCCCAGCGAATATCACAACTCCAGATCTAGCGACCACCACTGGGCCCGTGGGGGAAGACGATGTTCTCTTTCAAAATTTACTCAGTGCAGAATGGGCTGTTTACAGTTTCTACCAACAAGGCGTGGAGGCTTTCAATCAGTCAGTCTTCACAGACCTTGGGTTCCCCAACACAACCTACCAGAGAATCAGCGAGATCCGCGATAATGAGGCCGGGCATTTACGCATTTTCCAAAATTCGATTTCACCCGCGTCTATCAAGCCGGGGGCCTGCAGGTATGAGTATGGGTTTACCAATGCTAAAGAGTTCCTGGCTCTGCAGAATATCATTGAGGTCTCCAGCATGGCGTTCCTGACTGGTTTAGCGCAGCAAGCGAAGGCATCTTCGACAGTAGGTGCCCTCGTAGCAATTGGGGAGACTGAAACCCGACATGAGGTGAATTCATCATTCATACACTCATTGCTCCTTGCGCTTACCTTGTGCTAGGTCTGGGCGCTCATCGATGTCTGGGGTCTCAATCCTTTCGCAGGTCCTGCAGACACCTCATTCGCCTACGCAAATCAAATTCTGTACATCACCCTAGCCGACTTCATCATCGCCGGAAGTTGTCCTCACGAGAACCCTCCCTACCCCTACCCATCACAAAAGCTGCCACAATTGAGCTACAACGGCTCCACCTCCACCGGCCACCCAGGATCGCCCATAATGTTCGTGTACAAACAAAACAGATACAACAACGAAGCTCTTGTACCGGACTACGAGGCTGGAAAATCTTATTATGCGGTCTTCTTCCATGGGGTGAACAATATCACCATGACATTCGACACTAAGACAAACTCGTCGGTCGTTCCCCCAGAGTTCGACAGCCAAGGCATTATTCTGGTCGTAATTGCGGATGAGCCTGGAGCGCCTACTCTGAACAGCGTTGTTGCCGGACCTTTGATCCTGCTGCAGCAGCCTGCGACCGCGACAAATATCAGTGCTGCATAGCGCGAGCGTCAAGAAATCATCTACGTAGGACACTGAGTACATTTAGACCAAAACCTGGTTTGGACCGAATTCAGTTTCAGCAAAATCGAACTACGTAGCAACCTACCCTAAATCTCTGTGTCATCTCATTTGCTATCGCCCCCAGCCAAGGGTCTCGTATTTTCCCTCTCAAGCTTCCCTTTCCTTTTGAAGAAAGGGGGGGATTTTCTTGTTCTAGTCTCATGCTTGTACTATTCAGTATATTCGAGGCAATATCATACAATGGATGTGTTTAAATCCTACATCCTCAAGCATCTGTCTCATCACCCCAACCTACTACATGAGCGTTGTCGTTATTGATGACAATAGTGTACGAGACCTGAGTTCTTCCGCTGCAGTCACTAGCAGACAATGGCCACAACACCGTCGTACGTACCACCAACTAATACTACCATTGTCGCGGTCGTCCGCATGGCAACATCCGCGGAGTGTTCGGTACTTGCCTAGGGACTTTCGGTACGTATGTGTGTGCAAAGTATCGAGCAGCGAAGCGCGACAAGAGGGTCCAAGACTTTTTGGACCAGAGGTTGACTTTAAGACTTTCAGATTTTGCATGGAGCAAGATAACTGACTGTTCTCGCGATTAAGTAAGATGCAGTAGGAAAAACCTGGCCTTCAGAACTCTGTCAAGGGCTCACATGGTAGCTTGTGTCCAGCGCAAGCCACATCGAGTTCCAGTTCCTTCCTCGTATATTCCAAAGCCTCTTTGCAATTCTCACCTCCATGACTCCCTATCCTACTCGCAGCGCCGAAGAGCGTATATTGGGACCACTCTGCTGTAGGACGGCACACGTCCGCAAAAAGCAGGTAAATCAGCTCTCCTTGTCGAAGAATGTCCTCGAGCTTGCCGGTTCCATGCAGCCACTGCATTATATCACCAGGAGCGTCGTTGCTCGTATCGATCCTATCCTGAAGGTTGCTCATTTGGAGGCGACGGTATCGCTGCCTGCACCAAACAGCAACTGGGGCTAAAACGCTTTACGGTGGCAATAAAAGCCAAACATTGTAAGGTCGTTGTTGCGTTGCCTCACAGTCTGGTATTCTGTGCGTTGCGGTAGCTCATTGTGATCTCATCACCTTTACAAATCTCGACCATGCCTTGTGTAGTCAGACCATTCAGTATTCGATTTTACGCTCAGTAGGCGTTGGGCTTGCGCGAGTGGTTGAGGTAAGCTGCTCTCAAAAAGAGACCCTTCTTCTGTTGACCCTGCTGCGTTCTGTTCGTCTCGAAATTGCTTGTGTCGAAGGTCCTCTTGGGTGGTATTGTTACGTGTGACCAGTTGCATTGAACTTCGCCTGATCCGATCGAGACAGTCTTTTCGTCTCTTTCAGAGCCATTGCAGACTTTTTATCCCACCCACCCACACCTGTACATAGCTAGCTACTATTGTACTCCAGGTCTACGCCATAGGCATGGGAGTTTTCTCGGCGCTGGGGTACGAACACATCTGTTCAGGCCTCTATTCAGCTGTTATCCCGGCGTCGGGGACGGCCCAACCACTTGATACCTCATACCTATGTGCCCTATGTGTATGTGTGATGCGTGAGAATGAGAACACTAACAGGACGCTTGATTGTACAGCATCCATGCTTACAACTTACATAATGCTATTGAGACATCCAAATCAGATCAAAAGAATTCCATCTTCCACAATCTCCCTGATGATCTTGTGCGCGAACGCACTAAGGTGAGGACTTCACCCAACGGTTTCCTTTGATGACTTCCATAACCCCAGGGTCTTCTTCCTTTGCCAACTTAACCCAGAATTAGAAACCACTGTTTGCTGTTTGCGCTCATCCATGAGCGGGATCGTGCTTTTCAATGCTGGGGTTCAGAAGCTCTTCCCAAACTTACTTGCTTTACTTAAGTCATCCCAACCACATCTCAAAAGTTTTAGGATTACTGTGTAGCTCGTGGTTGGTGGTTTTCTGGTGGACAAACTTACGCATGTTTTCGCTGGCATTCGATCTCGATCTCGTTTGTGAGGAATATTAAAACGACATCTCCACTCGATTTACACAATCCTTTTACTATCGAATTCTACCAAGAGTTCCTCAAGCATGTTCCCTAATAACATATGAAGGGGGAGAACAACACCTCGGCTCTTTCCTACAAAACTAGTATCACAAAGCATGTAATTAATGGAACAAGCCGCCTCATGAACTCGTCTACAGGCGACATGCAGGGGCAAGGACTCAATACTTTATTGGGTCTCGGGACCTAAACCGTTAAGGACGCTCAACACTTTTCTTCCGCCACTCGAGGACTCAAGACTTGGCTAACTCGGAATTTGATGGAGAGCCTGAAAGCCGAAAAGAGAGGCAAGCCAGTGGACACTCTTTGCGAAGATCATGAGCCACTTGTCATGCTTTCAATACATCACTGATTGGCTGAAAAAGCACACCTGCCACTTCCTAAATGATATGTATACTTTTCACGCTTCACTACTCGTTAGAGCTAAGCCTACGGACATATCAAAACTTGTTTCCAGGGCTTGGCTTTTGCGGGAACCGACATGCTCTTAGCCTATTATTGTCCAAGTCTTCAAGACGCCAGCTTTCCTTCTTCTTTCCCATCCATCTTCTCCAGATTTTCAAACGCACAGACCCAGCGATCAGTACAATGGATTCACCAGACGACTGCTTCAACCTGCACGCCTCCGGTCTCTCAGCTATCGACGTAGATGACCACTCTGGCGATGCCGTCATAACCAAAATGCAGTCTCATCGCCGAGGAAGATTTCCTCTGATGCGCCAGCTTTCTCCTTCCGGACGTTGATCAGATCAACTCAGGAAATGAGTGGGGATGTACTGAAAACACTGGGTCCGGCATCACGGATTATATCTGGACCAGACACCGCCACGACAAGGCTCCTTGTGAGATGGCCATCATGCGGACTAGTCGCCAAATATACGAGGAGACAGCTCGCTACCTCTATGATAGACTCACGATAATTGTGCATATCGAAGACGATGGCATCAACTTCCTCTCAACCCACTGGGGTTGCGGGTGCTTAGATGGGTGTGTGTCGACCATGATCCCACTGCACAAAGTCAAGTGTGTTTGGCTACAAATTCACTCTTCTTGCGACCAACCCAGGCACCTCGTACATGTACGACGCAACCTTATCGATTTCTGCAAAGCAATTTGCCTGTTAGAATCCCTCAAGTGCCTTCGCGTCGATTTCTAGGACTCATACCACTATCAGGCGGGTACTATACAATGATAGGGATCGAGGAACCAACGAGTGTCCAAGGCAGTGTTGAGGTGACGACAATAGACGTCGAGCACCTTACGGATCATGGTAGTTACACCAAGGAGACTATCGAACGGCGACTGTGGCGAGCAGCAAATTCCACGGGCACCGCACTATTTGCAACCGATATCGAACTCATTATGCAGCCACTAACCCTTTTGCGTAACGTGAGCATATTTCAGATCTATCTAAATCCACGCCTTCAAGAGAAGATGCCATTGGTGGAGCTGGTGGCCTATTACAAGAAGATCATTGAGAGCAAGGAGCAGCAAATTCTGGAAGACCTAAAGTTTGTGCATGAGACTTCAGAGGACTTGTATCGATTGGCCCGAAGCATCCACGCGCAGTCTTTCTCCGATTTGCATTCCACAGAGCAAGAGAGAATGGAAGACCTGTTATGGCAGACTAGGAGATGGCATTCGATGCGAGCTGCGCCCGGCAGGCAACGCTGATTGAACTATGACTAGACATGCGCTTACTACGTAAGTCAACAACAACTGTTGAGCACCGGTGGCTGGTAGCTTTAGAAACCAACCCCTAGATCAAGGGCCTTAGCATCGACAATCTTGTGCTGCACCTTCATGTATATGTCATTGTCTCCAGTACAATACTCGACAAGACTCTCGGCCGACCATTGGGACATAACCTGGCGTAGCCCCTGACTCGAATCTGAAAACAATCATAGTTCTCAAGTGAGATAGACTCTATGACTTTATTGGGCTTAGCTTTTCACTTTAACTTGTCAGCCTTTTAACCGTTAGTATCGGCATCTCCCCAACTTTCATCCTTTCCTCCTCCACCCAATTTCTCGTTGTTACACGGCTAAGTGAACGAAGCACTCGACTCACACTTTCCTCATTTTTTCGGCCATTTACATCGGCATCAAACATACAAGCCAGCCATTTGAGCAACACCTCCATGATGTCCTCATTTCAGCGCTCAACCTTGACCGCGACCGGACGATCCTGGAGTTCACAACTTTGCGCCAGGACCGGCCCTTTTTGCACCGTATCCAACCTACCTCTCGAGACCACTTAGCTCTAACACAAAACACCAGCCTACGGTTCACCGATGGCAGTGATAAGCAACACAACCCAACCAAGCCAACATACATCATAACTCTCCCCTTCGAACTCCGCGAAGAGATCTACAAAGACCTCACTCTGGCTTCCAGCTTTGAATTTCCCCGTGTCTGCCGCTCAATCAACACGCAAGCAGCACCGCTTCTATACAAGTAGGGCATCTACCATCTCCGCGCGTTCAATCCACGCCACCAGCATCCCATATCCGTCCCAAGCTCCTCCACCATTGCGAAGATCCAGAACTTCTACATTTCCATGCCCGAGATCGGATTCGGAGACCATGAACCCTCAAAGCACGCTATCTTCACACGAACAATGAACCTACTGCATCAATTCAGTGGTCATGATGTCCATCGCAAAGTGTGTCATCTGGATCCGCATACATGGCGCCCCACGGAGCGCATGGCCGGCGTGCTGAGAAACTATGTGGGCTTTGAGAGGATAAGAATTACTGTACGACTGAGACCGTACGAGTTTGGTGGTGGTGGACGGGTTCCCCCGTTCGATTGGGAGATCGTGGGAGAAAGGCGGGAGGGTTATATCAAGGCGATGGACAAGAGACTGGGGCCATGGCTAGGTCCGGCGGACTGTATGGATCTGGGTGATGGGACAACAACTGAAGGTCAGGGGGACGTTATTGACTCGATGTTCGTCCTGGACTTCCATCCAGGCGCGGTTGTACCCTAATGCACCATACTCAAGATCAAGGCGACTAAAAAAGGCGCTGAGAAAACAGGTTTCCGGTGCGGTTACAATTACAACGATACTCATTACCACTGACCTTTTCCATAATCCTTTTCTTGAATGGCTGTGGATTGACTCTGTCTCATCTTCGAAAGAAACATTTTCACAATCCCAGCATCTCTATCTCTATACCCTATCTCACGGAGTATTGTTGTCCTTCACCGCTCATCGCTGCTCGCTATTTTTGCGAGTCAGTCGTGCACATATACAATCACCCTGGTCAGCTCTGAGTGACTGGGTCCCGTTAGCTCGTCTATTGATACACGCCCTCTGATAGGTATTGACCAATCAAATGCGTGTAGCCCCCTTGCGGTGTCTGATCGAAACACTTTCTGGGTCGGAGGCAAGGCCTAAGCCTTAGCACCTGGTTGACGATATCCGACCACTTCTCTCTGAACTCAGGCTTGAGCTGCGGAGCCTGACCATACGTTTTATCATAGGGTTGGACCACCTGATGAACCAAGAGACTATCCTCGACTTTCCGCCTGGAATGGATCCTACGAATCCGGACAATAGATCTTCGCTGCTCAATAATACGACTTTCATGACGGGACTTCGAGCGTTGAGTGGCGGGGTCACGCAAGATATAACCGCACTGTACCTCTAACTGCAGTATCTTCTGTTCCTTGACCATGGACGTTTGGAAAACCGTGGAGATTCTTCACCATTCGATAGTCATGATCAGGCTAAAAGAGAGTAATCGGTGAAGAGGGTGACAAACGGTAGCAAAACAACAAGAGACGGAAGCGCCAACGAGTACGAGAAGCGCAACGAAAACACAAAAAGTAATAAGCGGACATGAAAACATGCAGCACGAAAATAAATACTTTGAAACGCCATGCCAGAAGATCAAGTTTCGGTAGGAGGGTTGAACATCCGAGGACATTAATGTGAAACCCTGGCCAACGAAGACCCTGGCCCGAAGAGGCCCTGGCCGTAAAAATAACCCTTGGCCAAAGGTCTTAGGGTGAAACTAAAAATACGCGCGTAAGCAGCCGAGGGCAAACCTGTGAAAGAAAAGATGATATAACTAGGAAAAGGCTACAACCAGAAGCCCAGCAATTGCCACGTATGACAGAGGGGCTACAACACAGGTGCGCAGCAAATCCAACATCATAATTCTAAGGGTCGTTTCTTTGTCATTCTCACTACTGAGCGAGCCTCATAAGCCTCTGCATCAGTATGAATTCCAGGCTGGAGAAGAATGTTGACGCTATCAATGGTGCAAGTGTAATCCGCTGTGTACAGTATGTTGTAGGGGGGGATGAAACGCCGAGGCGAGGCGACTTCTGACGAAGGCAGGTGTAGCCGAGGAGATGTGCCAAGACAGCTCGGTCTAGGACACATTTTCCACCAAGCAGTGTTGTAGTCTCACTAGTCTGGAATTCCTCATAAAAAAATTATCTGTTCAAGCTCGAAGCACAAGGTCGCATACATCTCGGTTTTCGGACATGAAGCCCGTCACCTGATCCCGTATCTCGCATTATCCATTTTGCAATCTGCAATTGGAAGTAGTAGAAGGGAAAGCAGCTATGAAAGACCCCCCTCATCCAAAAATGCCAACACCAAAAGCCAGAAGAAAATTAAGGAGATTGAAAAGAATGCTCGCGATCAAATCCTTCAGACTCGCATAATCTTGCTATTCTTGGAAGGGAACTAGGCGGAGCAAGGCTGCAGCCGCGGGGGAAAAGCTGCCGCCTGACTTCCGATCCCACTTCTTCCTCTTTCCTTTCCTTTCCTTTCCTTTCCTTTCCTTTCCAATTTCAGACATCTCCACGTTTGCCCACTCTGTACAGTGTGCTTCAATTACCCATACGGTCCATTAAGTACTGATACCAACATGGCTACCGCAATCCCATCTATGCCCTCTCATCTGCACTTCCCTCCAGAAATTTGGAGTATCACCACCCAAAACTTCCGCCATCGCAAAAGCCCAGACGAGCTCACATACCTATGGACTACCGTGCGCCACGTGTCGAAGCAATTCAAGGAAGAGATTGAAGACATATTTCGTACAGAGCATCTACCCAAGACTTGGCTACATGTGGATTGTGAGTCCTGATGTGCATTACCGCCAACACCTAGGCTAGTTGATTGACATGGGTCTTCACTGTGCGTCTCTAGTCTACAATCCACCAGACCGTCGGAAGGTCTATCAATTCGCCTTTAAACTGAACTTCGACAGCATAAAGCCAAGATACCCAGACAGGGCAGTATTTTCGGTACGCTCAAAGAACAGCAGTTGGAACCCCCGTTCGCTCGGTGTTTCAACTTTTGAACGTATCACATTCGAAAGGCTTCGGGCTGAGGCAGGATCTGGTAGATTGGGTGAAGCAGACAAGTCTGTACCTGGATCACGAATACGCCTATTCGAAAGTCCTGTTCGCATGTTCGTGGTGCAGGTCCGAGGAAGTGTGGGCGACTGTACCTTGCCAGCACTGAACATTGACGCTGGTAAGCGTGAGCTGTCGTGCGAATGGAGGGATCTGTTCGACCGATTTTTCGGGGAGCGAAGAATCACTACGACCCCGTTGAATAGCGCGCCGGTAGGCCATCCGGATTACATAAAAGTTGTTTTCGTGGCTGATCTGACGGCATCCAGGTGGACCAGGTACCGACTCATACAAGAGACTATCAGCTCCCTCAGCACAACTTTGCCACGTTCAATGTGCTCGTCAGTCAACTAGACCCGAGCCTACAACCACTTGCACGACTCGATTGGCATACCCACATTCGACACATGGAAGTGTCAAAGGAGGGGGCTGCCCGTATCCAGCGTCTCAAAAACCCCATCCAAACTTGGACTGATGCGATGGGAGAGGAATTTGGACAAGCGAAGGCGACTCTGAGGAAATGCCAGTTTCGGAGACAGGCAAACCAGGAAATAGACCTCGACGATGAAGGGGATATCAACCAGGCAAGATTGGAGTGGGAAGCGGAGAGCAATGCAGCGGCGGACTCCAGAGGGAGAGCTGAATGGTATCCGATGATTCGGGTAGATATCATCAATCCTATGAGTAGCCATGTGCTGACCTAATATAGGCTTGCGATTCCTGCCGTATAACCAACAGGCAATGCGAAAGAGGAGACTCTGGAAATGGGTTTCCTCCAGACTGCGACTCTTGCATTTATATTGGCTTGCTATGCAAATCCTCCTTAGCCTGTCTAAACATCTCCCGGCCGCATTATGTATCACCAGACTATCAAATGCAACTTATGCTTCTGGAGCAGCAGAACACGAGACGCCTTCTTACGGCTCGGCAAGTAACTGTTTCGCCGCCTTCTACACAGTCTGTGTTTCATCGCGGCAGTCATGCACTTCAAGACTATCAAATGCAAATGATGCTCCTGGAACAGCAGAACAAGAAGCGTCTCATTATGGCTCGGCAACAACCCAACAGCACGGCCCCTCTACCCTCTCAGCTTCCGCCGATCGTATCAGGCAGCCTCCGCACACCGGGCCGGAGCAGTGCTTCAGCAAGTTTTGAGATGCATCACAATGCTCAGCGCAACGACCGGCGTCTCTTTGAGGCTAGACATGCCCCAGTTGACTCGGGGCAAAATCCGAGGTCAGGCCCCAGTGAGCCAGCTTCAGACAACCAAGCTCCATTGCCGGTACACAGACAAGAGCAACAACCTATGGAGATTCCGAATATCCAAGATCCCTGCAGACGAGGAGTTCAGCCACTGGCAGGGTATCCTTTCACTCCAATGCCGGCCCCAACGGCCGAACTTTCTAGGGCTGCCGGACCATCTCTCTCAGACATCTGCTCCAAGCCATGATATGTCCAGTAACGCTCCAGCCCTGTGATGAGCTATACTTCATTAAGCTGTCAAGCAGCGGGTATCTACTTGCCTGGTGAGGAATTATAGTCAGGCGAACGGGGAGGGTAGCCTGCTGCTCAAGCATGCAAAAATATAAGCGGGAGTGTTTTTCGGTATTTAAGATAGATATTATGCTACGTGTTGCAGACTCGTGGTAGAGGTATTTCCGAGTATTTTTTCTCTTCAAATCATGCCAGTGGAATTGTTCAGCGACACTGAGTGCGTCAATAAGGTTGGGAGTAGATGTAACAAGGGTACGCTTTCAGATTCTACGAGTCTCTCATCTACTAGCAAATAACTCTTTCCTCAATCAGACCGTGGAAGCCTAGAGAAATCACCCTCTGCCCGACCCCCACCGTAGCTCCTCTCCCGCATCAATGTCATTGACCAGCCAGATCCTCGAAGGCCCCTTGGCCTCCATAAAGTTTCCATCCCAGCGGCCTCAAAAGGTCTTCCCTCACCCCCTCATAATTCCAACTTGGATCCCCAGACATCTGCCCATATTCCAGAGTATAGAGCCAGCACTTCTGTGCCTTGCTGTATTTCTTATCTCTAATCGGATATGCCAGGCCAGTAAACATTTCAACCCAGTCACCAGCCTGAAAACGGGGGTCCGATCGACTCTGTTGTTCGCGGGACCGTCGCTGTCAATATCCCAAGTCATTCAAGAATGTGTAGATCCAGCGTAGTTGAGGAGGGACCTTGTCGTTAGACCATCGCCTCTACTGTTATAGCTCCGCAGAATAAGTTAAGGATTCATCCTAGCGAGGAGACTGCTGGAAAACGCTTTGCGCAGAGATCTCCGCTCGTCAATTGAAACACTGTATACATTCATAGCTTCAGAATCCCCAACATAGATATAGAAGTACTTAATATGGGCAGGAAGGACCGAGAAGAAGAACATTATTTGTGGCAGACATTGAAAAGGTATCTAATTGGTGAGTTTGGTGATACGACTCATCAGGAAGACTGCCCCCACCGAAACACGAGGAGGGCGGTGGCAAGGCAGTACCCGGATTTGCCACTGAACGGATGTAACGCGGAATGGATGGGTATTTGTCCGCCCTACATTCGGAAGCTTGCACGTTCACCGCTCTAATAACCGTGAAGCGTACAAGACTACGACCGAAACCAGCGTCTGATCGGAGTCAATTGTGGCTAAGGGTAACATTTCTTCGAGACAGTGGAATCTAGTTCACGCTAAGAGAAGATGTGCCTTACAGCCCAAAAGCTTTTGTTCTACCGCTAGAAGAAGCGGCAAGCTGCATGATTCCTCCCTCATGATTTGGAAGTGATGCCATCCAGACTTTTGGAGGAATAGAGTGACTGCCAGTAGTATTGAGTTCCCTGGGCCAGTTACATTTGTTCCCACCGCCTGTAGTCATATAAGGAGACTGCCAATGGATCAGTAGGGCCCAGTATACAAACCTGGCGATTTGGCTGATTTCCAAAACACTTGTGATGCATGGTTGCCGACAGCCAGGATATTCATATCCTTACTTCCTGGTGACGTGATCGGACTATGTTTGGGGCAGGGAGCCGTGCTGAGCCTGATTCTGTTCATTGTAGATTTGGCCCTGGTGATAGCCAATCATTCCAGCAGTATATTTACCAGTCGGCCCAACAATGTACCGTGATCAACCCCTTCGGCAACTGCCATTGCTTGCAGTATTCCTCACCAAACACTATTGTCAGGATCGCACTCACAGAAATTCTTTTCATTCAATCTATCGGGACGGCGACCCATACGCCAACAGCACAACTTTCTACCGAGCGTACAGCTTCATCCCCTTCCTTTCCTTACACGTCAGATGTTGACGTTCAACTTGTCGCCCCAGCAGTCGCGCTGTTAGTATTCTGATAGAGATTCAACCATCCGGATCCCCCACAGAGCTGCGTCGCATCCCCATTACAAGGCACGGTGCAATTATTGGGGCTAGTTCTGACAACAGTCGCGGACTTGACACCTTTGCCATCGACATCACCGCCACAGTAACATCTGCAACAACCACAACATTAGTATCCTTATCCAACAGAAGGTGTACATCTCGGCTATCGGCTGCGACTAAATACTTACTCAGAGCCAAATTCAACTCCCATATACTGATAGCCGGCGCAGTAAGCCGCGCATCTCTCAACCGTAAGCTCAGTTCCCGCCCAGCTCAAAGAGCTCAGAGTTCGCGAGGTCGACGAATCGAGCTGGCAGCCAATGTATTTGAACGTCCCGGATGACGTGACCGCCCTTGCAGAAGCTACTGGTGCAACTGAGGATGCCTTGGCGGAGAAGCCCGTAGACATGGGCACGGATGCAGTCCCAGTCCCAGAACCGCCTAGAGCAGTGGCGCCGTTGTCACTTGTGTCGTCACCTGTGTCGCCATCTGTGTCATTGCCAGTGTCGTCGCCAGTATCATCGCCGCTATCATCGTCACTATCGTCATCACCGTTGTCGTCACTGCCATCACTGTCATCTTCGCTGACATCATAGTCCGGGTCGTCCAACTCCGCATCTTCGATCTGGTCTTCTGACGTAGCTGCGATGTCGGTGCCGGTCTGCTTTGCTATCGTGGCGTCTATTTGTGACCCTGCGGCATAGACATGTAGGACTAAGTCTTGGTTGTCCCCTGCGTAAATAGCATGAGTCCCTCACTTTCAGAAAGAAGGCGATAGATGAGAAGGCATACCTGCAAGCTCCCAACCACCAGAAGACGTGGAGTTGGAGATACATTCTTGAACTACAATCTGACCTGCAGATGCGAGGTCCTGGTACGAAGAAGTATCGTAGGTGACGGACGCAGTCGTGACTTCGATTGGGACAAGAGCCGCCTTGCAGCCAGCTATCAACAGATTAGTCGATATTATTATCTTTCCGTTTAGCCGGGTGTGCCATGAGATGCAGCTAGAAGCTTACTGGTGGACCAAGACTGAGGAAAGTTCTTCCTAGTACTATTCGACAGTCCCGCCGGCGTTGGAAACTCCGAAGGAATGAACAGATAAGAACCATTCTCAGTCCCTAGTTTTGCTATGTTTGTGAGAAGGGTATTGCACGCTGCTTTAGTAGGAGCGCCGTAGGAAGTGATGTTGCATTGGTCAGGACTGAAGGCAACGGCTGAAGAAAAGAGCGTGAAGGTCGCAACGAGGAGTGCGGTAGTAGAAGCCATGTATGAGTAAGTAAGAATGGAAAAGCGCTGGCTACAGTACTTTGGGAGATGCTAATCAAAGATTGTATCAAGGAAGTTCCAGCTTGGCGAGCGAGCTTGCTTCGTTATATAAGTATGCTCTTCCTCGGCTACATTTGCTTTTCCCGACATTTCTTATCGATTTCTGACATGAACATGGAGGTGGCTGCTCAAGCGCACAAGCGACGAAACGCCGCAAGAATGTAGCGAAATTGACCAGAGTACCTTCACGCGCTGAAACCGCAATGGACCATCAGGAATCTCGGATCGCGCATATTCTCGAGTATCAAATAGCTTACGTGGCCCGTGGTGGGGAATTTCGTGCGCTCTTACCGAGGCGGAAGCTCGAGGAAGAAAGAACACTGAGAGATTCGATTCCTCTCACTCATTCGAAGAATGTACATAGATTTTATATCAGTTACCGAGGGTTGCATTACTTCTCTCATCAGCTCGCAGTGAAACTGACACATCTTCTAGCTAGACAAGGCCATTTCAAAGGCCACGTGCAGATGTACAACCATGCAAGCGCATCGCGGCACTCCACATAAGCGCTTTCTCATGGCACAGTATACCCGCCGCAAATCAGATTGCTCCAAACTTTATTAAGATTTGAGGAGAGTATTGGAGTGTGCACGCGCTTCAAGTGTGCTCCGCTCCGGTAGCAGAAAGCATTTGCTTTGTTCGTGAAGTGTGTCAGCGATTGTGGTTTTCCTTCTTAGGATCCTCTATTTAGTCGAAGCTTCTCCCAAGTGAAATTTTGCAAGTCAAGATCCTGAATCTGTTGTCATCTATGACTTCTCCGATTGAACACCCTCAAAGCCCCGAAAGCTATCACTCGGTACAATGTCCCCAGCATAAACAGCATCGCTAGATCTAGACTGTAGTGACCCAAATTGAACCCCGTCCCCGCCGCCGCAGGATCGATCTGGTAAAGATAGCGATACGGCGTGACATTCTCCGTGAAATAAGCTTCCGACAACCATGTCCCGGGACTCGCTCTCCACAGCCACGTCATGTGCCATCCTCCGACGGTGTGCAGACTCGGTCTGACGCCACTGATTATGGCTACCACTAGACTAGTCATGGTTGCAATCAACGGTCCATCTTCTCGCCTTGTCACCATAGAGACGCATGACGAGAGGCCATAGATGCAGTAGAAGTAGAGCAGATTGGCAATGAATGCTGCGCCCCAGGACATTCTTGGTGTTGAGAGATACATAAAAGGCATCGTGAAGTGTAGGCTAGATAAAATCATTCTGGGCAGTGTGGAGAGGACTTTGCCGATGTAGTATGCAAAGCGATTATGGCCTGAGGAGGCCTCGCGGGCGTACATCAGTTTCTCTTCGCCGAAGACCCTGACTCCTGGTGGGCTTGCAATGATTCCAGACGCTAGACCGATGAGCAACGACATCTCTGGCACCGAACTGTAATCCGCCGATGACGAAAGAAGCTCGTAAGGATGATGAAAAATCCCGCGGAAGTTAATGCCATCTTCGCTCGTTTCCGCTAAACCAAGGAGGAGACCCGTGAGAGTAGCGACGCTGATTTCCGCATAGAAGCTGGACCTGAGTCTGTACTGTTGTAGGAAAGCCCTGCTAAGGCAGAAGTAGGTCTGGCGATACCAAGATGCCCCTCGCATTTGAACTGTCCTGTCCAAGGCAACTATCTCGACATCGGAAGGACTGGGGCAAGGGAAGCCTGTCGCTGCTTTCATGGCGTCTTGACGATATGTCCATTGCTCGATCAAGTGTGAGACATCGGTGTCACCCAGCTTCTTGTACAGATGTCCTTGACCCGCGATGATATCCATTATGGTATCCGCTGGGTTATGGCCCTCGGGAAAATTGAAGCCGCAGTCTTCGAAGTATGCTTGGGCCTTTGCCTCTTTCCCTGAATATATCACTCTTCCCGCACCAAGTAGTAGAACGTTGTCGAGCGCTTCGAAGATCTCGTGCCGTGGCTGGTGAATAATTGTCACGACAGTGATGCCCAAGCGTGAAACAGCTTTCAATATCAACATGATAGAGGAAGCGGAAGTAGCGTCCAGACCTGATGTTGGTTCATCCAGAAATAATGCCATCGGAGCTGCGGCAAGCTCCATGCCAATACTGACACGCTTGCGCTCCCCACCGGAGATCACTGGTGCAGCAGTACTGCCGACTCGCGAATTTTGCACATGCGGTAGTTGCAGGCATTTCAACACTAACTCCACGTGTCTCTGGGCGTCCTTGTCGCTCCAGTCCGACGGCAATCGTATTCGGGCAGAATGCAAGATGTTTTCGCGGACGGTAAGCTCTGGCAAGACAATATCATCTTGAGGCACGTAGCCAATGACCTTCTTATATTTGGAGGAGATGCCAGTACCTCCATTGATTTTGGTGACACCTCCGGTGTGCGAATGTTTGCCCATAAGTACGTTGACAAAAGTTGATTTGCCAGCCCCGGAGGCGCCCATGATACCCCAGAAGCTTCCACTAGTGATCCCGCCTGTGACTTGAGACAGGATAGGCTGATTGGAGCCTTTCGGCTGATAGCTGAGATTTGCAAACTCAAAGGAGAGACCGATACTGGCAGCAGTTGTGCATCTTGACAGAGATTGGACCAATTGTTGGATATTGGAGTCTGATCTCTCGTCATCCACCGCGTTACTTTCATGAAACGCGAAATCGTTGTCCATAGCAGCTAGAGAACTTGTGTTGGCTCGCCTCACTCCCGATATCCTAGATTCCAAGGGGAAATTGCCATCATAGATGGGAAGATATTGTTCATTCTGGGCTCCTAAACGGGAGAAGGGGAGTACCTTCCTCAAATGTTTCGCCCTTCTGCTACGCCTCCGAGGACTTTCACGTCTCCCATTCCATTGTATCTTTGAAACCAGTATAGCAGATATGATCAACAGATCCAAGGCGATCAGCAGGATGAGAGGCAGCAATGATCTATCTCTGTAACTGGCAGGCGGGCAAAGAGCACCGAAGCTGCATTGGGTAGGCTCATAGGCGCCAATCGAGCAAAAGTGGCCAGAGGGACATATGATCTGTTGCGTACCTCCAGGTGGGCAGTAGTTCCCTTTTTGGCAGACGACGGGCTCGTAAGGTCCCATCGGAGGGGTTGTTACACCTTCAAGTCTAGCGATCTGGGCGGGAGGAGAAGGTGGACAGTAGGTTGGTGGATTACTGGCCGTGTTGTTCTGACCTGTGTTTGATGGAGCCGTCAGCATTGGTTTGAATGTTCCTCTACGTAATTGGACCGCCGCACTTACAGAGGAAGCCAAGATTGCAACCTGTCGCATTCCATTCACTAGCGTCTTGTAGGATGAGGGGTGTTGTGCCTGGCTGCCAGCAGGGACTCAACGACTCCGTCGTGGAGACTGACACCTCTTTGTAGAGATCTGACGACGCCTCTGTGTCATTCTTGCCCGAGCAAGTCACATCTCCGAGATCGGTGTTTTCATTTTCTGATGTGATCTCCACAAATTTCTCGTTTTGTCCTTCACCTTCTATGAAGTAAGGTGTACTGAGGTCCGGAGGGTTACTGTCGGAATTGGGTAAATCTTGGAGCGATGCAGAATTGGCTTGGTTGACTGCGAAGAACCACTTCCCTGTTTGTCCCGAGTAGATGTTGTTAGTCGTATTGGCAATACATCTCCACGCCTCTGTACCCAACTCTTCTTGCAAAGCGCATCTACATCCCCCATCATCGATGAAAAGTGGGCCTGTCGGTCGAGTTTCTGTGACACCTGAAGAGAAGTTATGCGAGCCACCTTCTGCTGTCATCGCTGCTCAATAGCTTTGTGGCCGGTAGATGCATGTGAGACTTGGTTGATGTAATGAATTACAGGTGTCGACCACGGAACAGAAGTGTGTGTTATACTTGCGAGACATCATGGCGGAGTAAAGAGGCGGGTACGTGCAGTCGAGCTAAATTTGGTATCATATAATAGTTTCTCATGTGTCAATGATATTGTGCCGAGTGGCCCGTGAAGTCCCCGGATAACTCTTCAAGGATTATCCCTGAACAATCCCCCTTTACTTGCCCAGTTTCCGAATATATGCTCGTCATTTGGGGATTCCCATTTACGCCTTCACGAGTTGACCGTCCACAAAAATGAATACACATCATTTTTCTATGCCAATTGTTAGACTTAGATTGTCTAGAATGTCTTATGGATGAGACGTATGGACGTGCACTCAGCCCAGTATGACTTTGCGCTTGTGATTTTGTATAACAGGTCCCGGATCACAGGAGACAGAAGTGGTGGCGCCTCCAAATATAGCAGTACCTTAGCATAGCTGCTCAGACTGCTCAGGCTAGCCTGTATAAACATAGCTTGCCAAGCCGTTGGTATTTTGTCGGTTTTGGTTGGGCTCAGCCTTGTCGGAGTGTCGTTTCTGACTTTTTTCATTGAGCTCTTCGTCAGATTAACAGCAGTAATAAGCCAGGAGAAGGATGCTTCTCTTCGTGTATTGAGTATGTTAATAGATTCATGGTCACTGCTGCTTACCTGCGCCTCAGTCCCCACTTGACTGGGTCAGCTTCTGCATCCTCAGGACCGACCGCCTTCACCGACCGCTTTCACAACAACAAAGAGAGACACTAATTCTGCTACGGAAACATAAGTCTTCGGGTAGGCCAACACGCTCAATCTTTGGTATATCAAGCAAGTCACTCTGCTGAGATCTGTGTTTTTCGAGAATGAACACCTAGGAATCGCTGCATCTTACACCATTACGAGAAGGCTCATTCAGCCCTGCAGACGGAAAAAAGCCTCTCGCAACGTCTCTCTCAACTGACCTAAACTTTCTGTATTATGTCTTCGCCGCACCCACGGTCCCATGTCCCAGCGCATTCCCAATCTCGTGACAAACACTCCGCAAACCTCAGCCTAGGGAACTGTCAAGCTCGGTGAGGTACTACTTTGAGCCGCATGTAATGCAACTGAAATGTCAGTGACTACGAAGGGATAGCAGTAAACAGAGAACGTCATAATCAGGTTCCAGCTGATCACGTCGAGAATAATGCCGGAGCCGGGACACTTCTTGCGCGAGGGCTCTAAGACTATTGATCGAAAGCACAATCACAGCTTTTCAGACCCGCGTTGAGCACCGCAATTGATACGAAAGCAGTCCGTAGATACTAAAGGTGAGAGAACAGCCGGACTCTTTTGCACAAGTCTCAATCATTGCTCTGAGCATTCAAAGCTTAGATCTAAGCGGTATGATGCGTGGATGGGAGGACAACATCGAGTGATCTTCAGCAAGGCAGGGATGCAACAGCAAGAATGTGGCTCCGTTAAGATGAGACCCAAGATTGCTCAATGGACACTCAAGAGATGGTTGGTGCAGGTAGTGCGATGCACCCCCTCTGGCATTGCCCTGAGACTAGAGAAGACTAGCACAATGATGCAAATCCTCAGCGATACAAAGGCCAGCAAAAGTGCCAAATGAAGGACAACAGTCCAGAAGCTCATGAACCACCGAGCTTCCGTAGGTTGGCTACTAAGATTGAGCCGTCTCTGAAACGTATTGGCACCACGATCTATGATTGGCAAAAGTAGCTGTGCGAGCGTGGTGACCAACGCCGTTACTCCCCAAAGCCTTCGGTCAAAGCTAGTCACGAAATAGTAATCCCAGGCTACACAGTGCATACCACCAGAGACTGTGCTACCTAATACCAGCCGCCCGGTCATGGGATGGGAACGTTAATTCCTGACGAGGTGATCATCGTTCGTGGTTCTTTCGCTCGCGTCCTGTTTCCCCCTTCGAATGGGTCGTCTTCTCCAGGATGATCTGCTTGGTCCTGGGATGAGACGATTGTACCCTTATGGCTGCCAGCATTTGGGGCAGAAGACTTCCAGGAAGAAGCTCACGGGCCTCTCGAACAGGGGATCAGGACTTGAGGGAACCCCTTTCATCTCTGGGATCGTGGTTGGAATATTAGGCGCAACATCAACGTCTTTCGGTTGGTCCCGCACGGCGAGATACCTGAGTATAGAACAGCAGGCGAAAGCCATGGTAGCATTTTCGATTTGCGAAGAAGGCAAAGACTCTACTATGCGAGCTATCAAATCGAGCAAAAGCCAGAGACACTGAAGAATGGCTAGCCAGCGAGCAATATCTTCGGTTCTGCTCCTGTCAAGGATCTGTTCTCTCGAGATGTCGGGGACTTGCGAGAGCGCACCTGTTTCCAGAAGGCTCGCAAGTTGAAAACCATTGATGGTGCGGTATTCTTTTCGTCTTAGCTAAAATCGAGAGCCTCCCATGTTAGCGAAAATAGCGTTTATGGTAGTCCAATCGTGTGCTTGCTTCGAAGATGACTTGTGCGTCGTATTCGTGTCACTTGTGTTTTGAGTTTTGGTTGAATGTGGACTTTCTGCTGCAGCACTATTTCCTGGGTCTGAGGGAATCTGAGGTTCCGCGATCATATCCCGAGAGAGATCCGTCCTCTTCCACGCATGTGTGGGGACCGGCGATGAGGCAGGCACCTGGAGCATCGCTTCGAAATCGTAATAGTCGATTCATCCAGCTCGCGGTGTCATTATTGGCCTCTTCCCTCATCGAGCGCATTGGGCGAAGAGAGGGAGAAAATTGAGCCAGCACACTAGAAGTCTGCCTCCATTCGCGATTCCCAATCAGTGCGGCAAGAGCAAATTTCTTGTGCCCAGCGAAATCGTTTTGACTCCGGTATCGCGTAATCGCTCCAGGACCATGTACGCCATCAAGCGCTCTTCCGGGCATGGGCGAGCATGAATTCCGGAAACATGATGGTGAAGAAGATAAAGTTGAGCTTGGGAAAGAATTTGGTTGTGGTTGAATCTTTGACTGCTGGCACGTTCAAATGTAAAATGGTCCATGTCGAAGCAACGACGGCGACCAAACAGCTGGACAGGATGTCATAAATTCCACGCAACTGAGGGCTTGCTATGGAGCCTTGTAAGACGATAGAGTAGGAGTTGTGGAATTCGATATGGGCCCCAGTTTCAGGTGGTCTCAGTATTAGCCGCTGTTGGGAAAGAGGCACGGATATGAGGTGACGCTGAATGCTGACTCGATGAGCTAAGGTATGTAAGCTAGTGTCGGCCCGACGCCACTAAATAAGGTACGGAGTAGCGGCTTTACCGTACTCGCCTTACTTGTAGTGCTTGACTAAGGTACCCTCGTACCTAAGTAAAGACACGAGCGAAACAAGGTCCAAGATTTCATACAGGTAAGACATAAGCAAAGAATTAGGGTCGTAAGATTCCGCTGCTCTGACTCTTACAACGATAAAATTCAATCCTCTGTAGAGATGATGACAGATACGACATGGGTGATCTCGGACACTAAGCCAATCCAACTGTTACCTTAGCTTAGCTTAGCTTACCTTACTCTCCTCCCGTCATTACCGTTGCATGTAACTGTAACCCTACTATCTCTCTACTTTGTCTGACGGACGAATCGTTGATTTTTTAGCCAAACAATCCTTACGCCGCTTGTCGTGTAGGCCCGCCGAGACCCCGCACAAGACGCCAATCGCAATGCAGCTAAAATTATTCCCTTCCAACGCAAGATTGATTTTCCCTCCTTCAAAGTATCTCGACGGTCATATACTTCTATCCACTTTGCTATCTCCATGCCCGTAACACATAGTGCACAGACATGGAAACGAACCCGCGTTATGGCCAACGCCTGATAGCCTCGAGGATTGAGGAGCTTGCGCAACATGAACCAAAGAGAGTCTGGCTGTCCATACCGTCTTCTCGTCCTAGCGATGGATTCAAGGATGTCACATGGGAGACGGGCGCAAACGCCATTGACCGCGCTGCCTGGTGGATTGAGTCCACGCTGGGAAAGGGGGACGGGCAGTCCACGGTCGCATACATTGGACCCCAAGATATGCGATACCTGATCCTGCTGGTAGCTGCTATCAAGGCTGGTTACATCGTAAGTGCACTTCCCGAATGCATCAGCTCCGTCTAAAACTAAACGTCCTTGGTTTCAATAGCTATTTCTCACATCCCCGCGGAACAGTATTGAGGACCACGTTCACCTGTTCAAAGAAACCAATTGCCAGATCATTCTTCACGCATCAACAACCACCATTGACGAAATACTGCATCGCTTCCCCATGCACGCGGCTACTGTTCCTGAAATAGATGTATGGCTTGATGCGGTCCCAGTACCGAAATACTTGTACAATGTCAAGTACGAAGAGGTAGCCGAGATGCCATACGTGATCTTCCACACATCGAGCTCCACTGGCCGACCAAAGCCAATCTATCTACCTCACAGTACGGCAGCCCAACCCGATAACGCTCAATTGATTCCCTCTCGAGACGGTCGTCGAACGATGTTCGCACATTTGAAGCATAATTGTCAAAGATTGCTATGCCCCTTTCCACTCTTTCATGCAGCGGGCGTGGGGAACTGTCTGGCCGCTGCGGCATACCTGCCTTTGACAGTGGTTCTTGCGCCTGCCGACAGAATTCCCAACGCAGGTCTCATCGACGAGCTTTTAGACCATGGCAACGTTGATATGGCACTGTTGCCTCCTTCGTTGCTAGAAGATATGAGCCAGTCGCAAGCATCCCTGGAAAGGCTCGGTAAACTTGAAGGAGTATTCTACGGAGGCGGTAAGTAACCAAAGGTTCCTTGATATGACCAGTCTTACTTGAAGCAGATCTGTCTAACCCACATGTTCAATAGGACCCATCTCGGATGAACCAGGAGAAAGACTCTCTAAAAAGGTCACATTACACAATTGGCTTGGTAGTACCGAGACGGGCACAGTCCATTCTTACGTTACAGATGGAGACGCTTGGAAATACTTCTACTTCGATCCAGTACACAACGGGATCGAATGGAGACCCACGCCCGAGGATGACGTATATGAAATGGTCATTGTCCGGGATCCCAAACTTGAGCGATTCCAATTCGTTTTCAAGGTGTTCCCTCAACTACAGGAATTCTCTCCAAAAGACCTGTACAAGAAGCATCCAACCAAACCACATCATTGGCGGCACATAGGCAGGGTAGACGATATCCTCGTTTTCAGTAATGGAGAGAAGCTCATGCCACGAGTTACCGAGGACCTTCTCTCGGCCCATCCAGCTGTTCGATCTGCGCTCATTGTTGGACATGGCCGCTTCAATGCTGCAGCAATCTTGGAGCCGAACGAGATACCCAAGAGTCGACAGGGTGTAGAGAGCCTTTTAGACGATGTATGGAAGACTGTTATGGAATCCAACAAGACGGCACCTACCCACGGCATGCTTTCGAAGTCTCATCTGATGATTGTCAGCCCTGACAAGCCGTTCCTGCGAGCCGGCAAAGGTAATCTTCTCACCGCACCTGACGGCCCAAGTACTAAAGTCGCGCCGCAGGGACTATACGGCGTGGAGCAACGATAGATGAGTACGCTGAAGAGATCAACAAACTGTACGCAGAAGCAGAAAGCGGTGCGAGGGATATCTCCGTAAAAATCTCAGTTCATAATTACTCCGCATTGGTTGATTCCCTCAGACTGGCAATCCTTCAAATCTCAGACCTCCGTCTTGGGCCAAATGACGACTTCTTCAACGCCGGCATGAACTCCCTTCACGTTCTCAATCTCAGTGCAGTAATCCGAAGAGGTTTGTCGGAAGACAAGCCGCAATCCGATCAGAGCGACATCACACCAAAATTGATCTATGCACATCCAAGCCTTAATCTGCTTTCCACAGTTATCCTCCAGTCCTTCAATGTCAAGCTGCAGAATGGACACGCCGGAACAGACAGCCATGAGCGAGTGTTCCAAGGCTTGGTGGACAAGTATACGACCCCGGCGATAATCTCGCCAAGTCACGCATCAGAGACCACTCACAAAGGCCTTACTGTTCTTCTCACCGGCAGCACGGGTTCCTTGGGTTCTTACATTATGGATCTACTCCTAGCAGACTCCAGGGTATCCAAAGTCTATTCCCTGAACCGAGGCCTGGACAGTGAAGCGAGACAGAGCAGGTCCAATATCACCAAAGGACTATCGACCAACTTTGATAAAGCAACGTTCCTTGCCGCAAATCTAGCCAATCAATTTCTCGGCCTCAAAGAAAATGTTTATCAAGAAATGCTACGTAGCGTGGATCAAATAATCCGTGAGTCCTAGGTCTCCAATCTCATTACACAAACAAATCTGACATTCATGCCCTCCGTTGCTAATTTTCTTTCCCGAGTGAACGCTAACATTTTTCTGGAGACAACCAATGGCAAGTCGACTTTAACCTTTCCCTCCCCTCCTTCGAGCCCCAAATCGCCGGCGTTCGCAACCTCTGTGAGTTCGCCGCCTCAACATCCTCCCACGCCCCTCTCGTCTTCACCTCCAGTGTCGCAACGGTCTATAACTGGCCCTCCACCAACACCAGCAACACCCTCGTCCCAGAATCCTCCCACGCCAACGACCTCTCCCTCTGCACCCCTGGCTACGGATCCAGCAAACTAGCTGCTCACAAGATTCTCGAATACGCTGCCCAGCAGTGGGACGTAAACATCGCTATTTTACGCGTCGGCCAAATCGCAGGCCCAGTCACTGATGGGGAGCGCGGGATGTGGAGTAAGCAAGAATGGCTACCTTCGGTACTTGCGAGTTCGAAACACCTCGGTATGCTGCCCGACGATGTGAGTGGGATCATCGACTGGGTTCCTGTCGATCACTGCGCGCGCGTGGTGCTCGAGCTAGCGGAGCATACTCTCCATGCTGTAAACCCCGACGCTGAGGGTAAAGGAGGACACGTGGCGTACTACCACGTCGTGAATCCGCACGACGCTACCTGGCCGGACTTACTTCCTGTTGTGCAAGAATACTCCGCCAATCAACTGCGCGTTGTCTCGTTGGCCGAGTGGGTGCAGGCGCTCGAACAGAGCACCACCGGGGATTCCGGTGCCGACGATAAAAATCCGGCCGTGAAACTTCTAGGCTGGCTCGCAGATCTCGTGCGCCGACGTGCCTCGGGCCGCGACAACGTCAAGCTTGACACCAAAGAGACAAGCAAGTGGAGCGAAAGGATGAGGGAACTCGAGCCCGTGAACAGGCAATGGATGGATTTATGGCTAAGACAGTGGCGATTTTAGATTGCATATAGTTGTTTGCTACTCGCAAGAGAATGGAGCGAAGGTCATGCATGCATAGAGAGGTTCCACATCCCCCTTAGGCCAACAGGACAGAGCTCTATGTCTTTTCATCTCGCACATGGTGGTGGCTATCAACCAAAAGTCTTGCACTTTCTATCAAATAATCGTGAATAGAGAAAATTAAACGCACCAAAAACAACTCCCTTGCAGGTAAAACGAGAATCATGTATGATAATATCACGACAAAAACCATCCCTTTCTGACAACGTGCGATGAGAGGACTCCAACAACATTATCCAAGTATATAACTCTCTGCGCAAACTCCACACCTTGGCATTGCGGGCACACCGAATGCTCTGTACTAGGGGCTGATCGACGCAATAATTTTTTAGCGCTAAACATACTCCCTCCCTTCGAAAGTCTTCGTCTACACGCACCGACCCTTGCACTCTTCTGGCGCGCTAGATTTCAAACAGACACGTCCTCTCTTGGTCAACCGTGTGTAAGCTTACGTGGGACGCACGTTCCAAGAAGACCTGTGTTGCGGTATTGGACTGCCAAGGAAAAAGTCTCTCAACGAACAGTGCGATTCTACACGGAAGCTGCCGGGTTTTATCGAGTCTCAGGGGTGCACATGTAGCATGAAGGGGTGTGGGTCTAGCTCTATCCTTATCAGAGTTACACGTAGCCGCCTTGCAGATCGTTGACCGAAACTACTCTCAGAGGTTTGCTTCTATCCGCAGGGTGGTCAACTTTCCGAGGCGCTTCACTGAATGTGCCGCCAAAAGCAAACAACGAGCGCTAGGTCTGGAGTCAAAGCCTGCCAGGGAACCCCAGATGCCCGGCGGGAGACAATACTGTGAGGCCGTTTAAGTGTAAGAAAAGCGTTATCGCAGGGTGAGTGGACATAGTCATGTTGCCGCTATCGCTATGAATCAAGTAGAAGAGAATGTTTCGGCCGTCTAAAGCCATGTCTTGCCTTACATCATAGGCTTCATTTGGAGGCATCGTCTCTCACTGGGTACATGTTGCTGAGAAACGGGTGGGAGTTCTGAAGCGCCACAAGATCGTAGTCCTGAGGTTCGAGTCTGTCCCAACCCTTTTCCTTTACGATCCCCCTCGCCTCGTCAAACGATACCAACAATCCTTCATCGTGAGTTTGCGTACAGCTCGGATGTGCCGGAACCCACGAAGGTGGCGGCTTATCGTATTGGTTCTTGTAGATACGAAGCGGTGCTTCCCCTGCCCTAACCCAGGTGTTCTCAAGGTGGGCGTTTGGTTCTTGGGTGAACGGAAGGGGGTTTTCTGCGCCAGAAAGCTGACCGGCCTCTTTTGGTTTGCTCAGAGTCGAGAAACATGCGATTTGGTGAGAAGAGAGTTGGTAGCCATAGAAGACCTCTGGTGGATGCAAAAAGGCGTTGTTGATCTAGTCTCAATTAGCATAGATTCTGCAAGGAGCTGCGGTATCGCATGAGGTCCGGCGGTGTAAGCCAACCTCCCGGCCTGATTCTCCACGGTCAAACAACAACACACCGCCGAAGAGCTGGGTTTCGGCCCAATAGCCCACCACGTTCAATAAGCCGAATGGGTATCTCTGGAATTCTTTGTACTTTGTGTGGTAAAAATCGACGTAGAATTGATCTGTCTCAAGGAATAGAAGATCCTGTTGGGCTGATGGTGACTCTTGGGGCTTGAGGACTGTTTCTGGATGGAAGGATGCATATATCATTCCAGCTAGTGCATTCAGCGAAGCTGCTGTTATCTCCAGCAGGCGCAGGTCGTGTTCAGGGCTACCCAGCGGTGCATTTTGGTAATTCTGGGCTAGCTATCCCCGAGTCAGCGCCTGCGTAAACGCCTGTTAGATGGGAGGTTGGACACACCTGTACGTCGATCTTCAAAGCTTGCGGTGTAAAGACTGTTCTGATTTCTTCGTATAGCTGCAGGGCCCCATCACTGGGGGTTGGATGATCGCTGACAATGATAGTTTCGTTTGGGAATCCACGGGTGTTTGGGTCTACATGGGACTGCCAAGTGGCTCTCCCATCGATGATCTGAGCATACGTGTCTTGAGCATTCGGTGAGGCTAGAATAGACGCTAGAGCAGTCTCCAGCTGTTTCAACCTGTCGATACTGAGATTGGCAAGCTCAGCAAATCTTGGAGTTTCCGTGACTTGCGAGAACATGTTGTTTCCGTTGTGACTCTCACGGCTTGGAGAAGAGAACTAGATGAGGCTGGAAGGAAAGAGAAAAAGAGGGAGGAAAATGAAGTTCAGGTGTCACGAGGTAGACGAGAATAAGTCTTGGCAATTCCTTGACAACACGTCATCTTTAATTACATAAGCTGTTTCTGTCCATGCAAGCTGAGTCATATTTTGCAATCCCTTCACGAAAACAGATACAAAGCTTCCCTTCGCAGCTCCCTGACCGGCTGGAGGCCTGGACATGATCACTAGATAGCAGGGAAGCGAGCTAGAATGTCACCCAGGACGTTGTGCACGTGATGCTTATGCGAGCAATCTTTTGGCTGCATATTCTTTATTCTGCAGCGTAGCCCGTGAAACGCAAGTGCGAGATGCGGCTGCAGGGTCGGAAGTTATCATGCAATGAGAGCTTCGCCCGCGTTTGCAAATGCTCCGGAATGTCCAGTATGCTGAATCTAGTCTTCTAACGAAGGGGCAACCTGCTAAATCAAGTGGCAGTCCTAAGCTCCTAGTACTTCGGTGTTAACACAGCCTTTGGCTATCAGGTCCAACAATTCCATTGTCATTGCATGGATCCAGCTCATCTAGTGCTTTCGACAAGGGGATGGCCTGCTCCTCGTAGACCAAGGTTGCCAATTTTTGAAATCGTGTAACTACGGCTGCATTTTCTCTTTGACAGTGTACTGTTGTACCTATCAAGCTCAATGGGTTTTGCCACTCCACCACCGACCCAAAAAGCTGCAAAGTCTACGTCTGACTCAAAGTTCCTTTATTGGTGCTTTCGGCCTGGTGCGCTGACCCAGACCAATCCTGCAATTTTAACCGTGGGGATGAGACCTCATCTATATCAGTATGTCGATCTCTGGACACATGATGCCCTCCAGAAGTAATCACTTCAGGGGCAAAAGTTGAGCAAGCTTTCCAATTCGTCACTATCATCCGAGCTCTGCTCAACACTCTCTACTCGGCAAATTGTGTTATTAGGTTATGCTAAATATAAATGTGGCCTCTTTTCCTCTTCTTGATACACCAACATTCAGGCTCATCCTTTATTAACCAACATTCACTCTTCACCCAGCACAAGACTAACATGGCACAGAATTTGGTTCCTTTCCTTATTGTCCACCGGGATCCCCACGGAGCGCCAGACTTCGTCTATCCACCGGAGACGAACATGGCTTCTTGTGTCATAGCATCCATAAACGTCTGTCGAGGTATGTTGCGTACTGCGAGGATTCGGGCTGTTCTGGTGTCTCTCGTCCGAGAATTCCATCGATCCCAACCGAGACCTTGGTACGATGATCCTCGGCAGGGATTCAGATCCCTAGAAGATGTTACTTTGACTTTCATCAACAGCATACTCATGGTCTTCCCCACTGTCTACATTGATGACTCCATCGGTTCCCCGAGTTGCCTCGGCGCTCACCCTAGACGCGAATGGAGAAATTTCTTTCACCCTCGCGAACAGAGCATTATCTTGAATGGACCCGTACGTGATAGGCTCTAGAAACTGTATGGTCAAGCAAAGCTGACCATGACTTAGAGAGTTCGCGATATGGGTACGGCAGCGATCCTCGCAGCCCGAACTGGGAACCCAAGCGACCATGCAAATAAACGTTTCCGAACCTTCATCTTCATGTTCGCCAACACCTTTTTTCATGAGATGGCCCATATGCTTGTGACTTTTCTCACCCAGGATCTAACATTGACTCCACCTAACATCGGACCACGCATTAGCGGATACTCGAACGGAGGCATCGGCGAGGCCGGCCGATATCTGGAGACAACCGTTTTCGGTGGTACACTGGAATACTATCGTGATCACTCCGATGATGGCGGCCAGGTACTTTTAATGATTTGTCTTTGCAGTTCTACACCTATTGTTCTAATATGTGAGCTGATGTATGTTCTAGCCCGGCATCCCTCATATCCTCACAGAAGGCGGTGTCCAACGAATCTCGCAGCATTCAATTGATGACATCGTTAGCTACTGTGAGCTATCTCCCCTCCGTGCAGTACTTCCTTATTAAGCAAGGGTAACCATCAGATTTCCATTTTCCTTATCATCTCGAGGGTCCTCTAGTCGATCGTGACTCCATGGAAAGGATAGGCGACCACTACCCCCCAGTGAATCTCACGGATCCAATGAGATGGATCGTTATGGACGAATACCGAAGACATTGTCAGAAAGTGGACGTCGGCCCCCAATCTGCTCTCGCTCGGCTTCCGTTCCAACCGGGCCTTCGTGCCCAAGCTGCATGAGAGGCAAACGCCAGAAGGCAGCGCTGGTAGGACGAATCGAAACGGACACAAGGGAGATAGGGAAGGAAAACGGGTGGTTTCTGTGTGTCTATTTTGAAGCGTGCTTTCAGTGTGGATGCTTGCGAGCATTTGCGGGACAGTAACTCCGAATCTTCTGTCAAATAATCTGCAGATACTCGAATTGCACTTCACGAGCCCGTCTGGAAAGCTATGAACAGATGGAATTTCCAGAATCTCAAGTCCCAGTGTGGCATGGTTGTTAAAGACTCTTCCCTCTTTTCAGGCAGCCTTGCCACGGCTACCCAGCGACGCATCTCGACACCTCTGCGCTAGCTACTTCGAAGTCAGCACGTAAACGGTAATCTGCGGAGGCAGAACGCCAACAAATCTATATGTCGATCTTCAAGACTTACGCGGTGAAGACTTTCCAGGAGTCCTCCTGATAGTGTGTAGCCCCATCACTGGGGTTCAAATGATCGCTAATATCAGCAATCTTCGTTGGGAGTTCCCGAAGGGGTTCTACATAAGATCTTTCCCTTTCGATAATCTGAGCATAGGTGACCCAGGTGATCGGCAAGGCCAGAATTGACTTGAGAAATGGTGGAGACGAACGGCATAGAATTACATACGGTGAGGACGAGGCTTAGTTTTTCTTTCCAGCGCGTCATCTAATTATATGCGAAGTGCCAGTAACAGATTCTAGAGATTAGCAATCAAAACGCACGGTCCCATTGGACGCCGAGACAGACCCCTAAACTTCATCAAACATTTGTCGATTACTCCCTAAACTTCATCGAACATTTGTCAACTACCCCTCAACCATCATCAAAAATCTTTCGGCTACTCCCTAATCTTCATCAAACATTTTTCGACAAATTCATAAATTCTATCAACTATTCGTCGACTACTCTTTAACCCTCATCAAACACTTGTCGACTACTCCCTGACCGGCTGCCTGCGTATGATCCTCCCCTGCCGCTGACCCCCGAAGACTTTATACACCTTCAGCATCCTGGGCTTTTCCTGACTCCGCAATCACCACCACTGCATCTGTCCGAAACGTTTCTTCACTCTGCCTTAGAGAAGTGTTATGAGATTCTGGCTGGCGGGTTTGAAACAGGCTTAGCTTCGCTGATCCCTTCGTAGGGTGAAGCGGCAACTGAATCGCCGAGGACAGAGGACAACAGGCCCATCCTTATCCTAAACGCTGCCGCCTAGCCCCGAGAGGCGCAGAAAATTCTGTTGTCTGCCGAGTCAATGTTTCGAGTGTCGTCTGCTGTCTCATGCTGCGAAGTTTCGGGAAGCTGCGACTTGTTTGATCTTGTCCCCCAAGTACCAGAGAAGCTGCCTGGAGAAGTGACCATCTTGAGCGCCTCGTCTTTTAATGGCAACACAAGCGATTGGTATCATGCCCGTTGTCATCATATGAGTCTAGCCCAGACAGAGCTTTTGGCAAGGAGAGAAGCTGCTCCTACTCGGCGGTTTCCATCTCGTTTCGGATTCATGAAGCTACGACCGCAGCTGGTTTTGGCGGCACGTCTGCCATGCTCTGTAAATTCGACCGCCACCGGTCCCGAAACTCTGCGAAGTCACAGGGCTAATATTTGACTCAATACCCCTCAATAGGTGCTTTCAAATCGAAAGACGGACTAGAAATAAATCCGCGGTATCACCTCATGGGGTGACACCTCATTCACACCAGACTGCCGACTTAAGTGGGGAAGCTTCAGGAGACAGACCTTGGTTTCAATTGCTTTTCATCGCCGTTGTCCAAGTCTGGCACATCACTTCGCCACAAATTCTTTTACGCGCTAGTACCCATCTGCAGCCTGAACAATCGAAGGGCAGATCAGAAACAATCTCACTATCTCCCCCATCAACATGAGGCCCAGTCCACACCACACTGTCGATTTGATACAAGAAAGTCTTCACAAGGGACTGTTTCGAAGGAAGTGACGCCCGCCTCCAACGGCCCAGTCTGGCACATTGATATGTTTCCACGCAAGAATGTTTGAGGCTGACACGATGATTTGTTTTACAACGCGCCGCCGCAGCTTTACAAAGCATTGAGTAGGGCCTCTCCCGAGTATATGTTCCCCTCTCTCCTCTATCTGTTATTCTCCAGACTGGCTCCCTCTCCTCTCTCTGTTGTCCTTCAGATTCAAAGTTATCTCTATCTGCTACGTATTGTTGTTTACCTACTCCTGAATCACCTCGATGACCAAATGGCCGACGCGGGATCCTGTTCTTGAGGAGGTGTCGAACACTGCTAGATCCTTCCTCGTTTACCCCCTGAGATGATACAGGCAGTACCACAAGCCCCATACGGCCCGGAAGAAGGCATAGTTACCTGTGTGGTTCGACGCCATCAATGTATGCCGAGGAATGCTGGCCCACGAACCAGACGGTTCGGTCTGCTTTCATAGAGCTCGTCAGACAATACTGCCAAACGACAGACGAACGTCTGGTTCCTTCAAGGTCCGATGACCGAGGAGAAACTGGAGGAGATGTCACGGATACCTTCCTGCAAAAAGTCCTTGATAAGTTCCCATTGATATTTGTCGACCACAGCTTGTACAAGCCGGACTACTTTGTCAACCCATTGTAGACACGCATGGGGTGGGGAGTTTAAAACCTCGGACCAGGCCATCGTACTCAATGGACAGGTAAGTAGATGTCCAGCTAGAGTTCAGGAAGTCGTTGCTTGGGCAAGCTGACCGTACTCTAGAGACCTGGCCCAAATGTTCACCTTAAGAGTCATCGCAGACCCAAGCGATCCGAACGATTTCGCGAGCAGGGATTACAGAAACTACTTGTTCATAACCGCAACCTCCATCTTCCACGAGATCGGTCATGTCTTTTTCACGTATCTTCTGAAAGGTGTAGAGGGACTACTCCTCCCCAGACGATAGGCCTTACGTGGTTGGACACGAGAAAAGACCGAAGGCGAGTCTGGCAGCAAACCTGGAACAAATGGTTTTCGGCGGTGTCGTGTACCTTTACCGCGACCGGGATCCTGCCACTGAAACTGCCGTTGATGCAGTATGTTCAGATACGGTCGCTCTGGTCCAAGGTCAGTCTTTGGGGATCTAAGCTGATCTATACTCTAGTGTGGCACACCTTACCTGGCTGACGCGGATGGCGTGTATCGAATCTTGCCGGAAACCATCAGCAAGACTGTCAAAGGCGGTAAGCAATCTTCCAAAAGACTTTCTCTCGTACCATGTACTACTGGTAACCCTTTTGTCTCAGACTTTGAGTTTCCCTATCGACATGAAGGCATTGCAGAGGAGCCCACCCTACTGATGGCAATGGACAACTTGCCTGACGATGTCATCACGGACCCAATCGACCATCCCATGTGGGGACAGCCACTAGGACCTCCTCCTGCCCGCCCCTAGTCTGCTCTTTATCGTGCGTCATGCGGTATGACTCTTCATGCCCAGGCGGCGGAAGAGGAGGAAAGCTATACCGGAGGACCAGAGGGAAGCAATGAAAGAAAAAGGCATCATACACACACAGCGGTTTCAATGGGACCATCTGGCATGGCAAGGTGGCGAGCATACACGGGCTGGATTTCTTTGGATCTTGTTCTCAAACAGCATGCGCAGGATAGATTTCTTTGGTGCTTTTGTCGAACAGCATGCGCAGGATAGATTTCTTTGGTGCTTTTGTCACACAGCATGCCAATATTCGAATAATGATAATGAATGGACCCAAACCCCCCACCCCCCCACTTTTCCTCCCCAGATTCGAACATGATGAATGCATTTCGCCTTGACGAATATTAATCTAGGTCCTTGACTTATTGGGAAAAGCCCGTGAACAGGTTCAACTTTGGTTCTGGCACCGCGCCCGAACCCCGGATTGTAAGATTTTCAACCAGGGGCTTCTCTGCAGATCGACAAGGACTTTAGAAAAAGGTTCTGAACACGGCCAAGTTCTCTTGGCACCGCGCCTGAACTGTAGGAGCTCATTCGGAGTCCTCACCCGTATTCTCTCACCCTGAAGCAGAAGCAACGGAGTGCTAGGCACGATTGGGATCGACACCGCATGCACCGCCCGAACGGTAACAAATCAAGTGCTCTCCCAAGATGTCATACTAGTATGCAGCGACGTGCATGCGCGCATAATGCCGAGCGGAGGGGCTGATTATGCACCTAGGCTTCGACTGCAGGGGCGAAATCCCACCAATTTTGGTAGATCTCGATCTGCGTCAGGGTTTGGAAAGGAAGTTTTGTCTTTTTCATTGCCTTGGGCTGGAATTCTGGGGAGAAGAATGCGGATAGAGGTTGGATATTCTTGACTGCGTGTTGCTACTACTAATCTCCAAGCTCACACCTGAGCCCCTACTTCGAGGAGATGTTCGTATGAGGTCACTGCCCATCTAGCCATGAAATCGTCCTGCACGATGGTCAATCTTCACCAGAATCCCATCACGAAAGCTCAGTCCCCGCATTGCGGGCTAGACAGTTGGTTCCAAGACCTGTACGCCGGCGCAACCTGGAGTCTTTGGATGTTATGCGCACATAGTGCGTTCAAAGCGCACGTGCTGCGTATTATTGGGTGCTGCGACGTAGCCTTCGGCCGTGTCAGACCAGCGAATAGGAATGACTAGTCGGTGATCCTGTTCGCCCCTGAATGCCTCTAGCCTTTAGCGAGAGAATGATCGTCTCCTGGGCGCAGCAAACATTTTGCGAAGTGTCAAGTACGCAGTGTCAGAACGATTGTTCTTATTGCTACCGGTAAATGCCTCAAACGCTTGGTCGGATGTCTATAGACGGAAAATTGTCAAAATATGTTGCCCAGCCTCCTCACAGCCAGCTGCTGAAAAACAATATGATTTGCATGGGGTACAAATGCTGGCCCAAGAAAGTCCTGAGATAGAATAGTTGCTGCAACCTACACATCACATACTTGAATTGTGACCAAAACTGGCCTCCCCACCCTGATGCGTTATCCCAAAATATCATCTATTCGCTGCTTCCACCCCGAGCGGGCATAGAAGCTACGCGGAGCACAGCCCAGTCAAGAACGCAAACGTCCTTGGCTCTCTTATTCCATTACGGTGATTAGTAGCGACATCCTTCTCACGTCGAACTATTCGAGAAAGATATCAAGTCCCAGCAGGACATGACCATCCGCGAGGTTTAACCACCTCTAGCGACCATGTGCTCCTCCTCTCCCACCACGGGGGAAAGAAAGCAGTCTCTACACGCCAGTCGAGCACTTATGTAATCCAAAAGCACCCTTACGCGCATGGGCCAACTATGAGTCAGAGCACATGACCAATCAAAAAGGCTCCATCGCCACCGACTGGCGTTCAGACGAGGGATTTAGCTGGCAGGCGAAGTGGTTGCAGTGGTTGAATTTGCGCCAGGGTGATTGATACTCTGCCAGCATCGGATGAGAAGGCGATGCATGAAAGTCTGTGGGACTGGTGGAGGGTGAATGGTGAAGGGTGGGTAAGAGGGAAGAATGATATGAGAGGGGAAAAAGTGGGGAGGAGGAGGCTAGGAAACGGGGTCCTTTGTTGACGCTGTCACAAGTAGACAGCATTGGTCATCAGGGGTTGAGGCCGTAAGCTAAAGTAACCTTCGCCTTAGGCTACCTGTCAATAATAAAGTACGGTACTTTAGGTTCCAACAGCATTGCAAAAAGATACGAGTACGGTAGTGAGTATGATGATAGCCACCAGAACCAAAACATTTATTGTATTCGGCACTTCGGCAATCCAGACGCGCGACGCTATCACCAATCAGGACTAACGTAGCGCGTCTTTTTAGCGGAGGCCCGTGCCTAGGCTTCCCGCTCGCTGTGGGGGCTGGCCACCGGGTTATTAAGTATCAAATTGCTGCCATCCCTTCCCTTCCCTTCCCACCACTTTCCATTTCATCTCATCATCTGTTCGGTATCCAATCATACAAAGCAACATTGAGCAGTGATAGGACCGCCAAAAAAGACCCAAATCAAAGACCCAAATCAACGGTCATGTGAGCGTGTTTGCCTTGTTTTGCCTACCGACCTTCCTCGCGCAATACTCCAGAATCAGCTAAAGGCTTCTTCGTTGGGGCCTCATCGACCCTGTTTCAGAGGTCCGCAGTCCTATCCCCATCACAACTCCCCAAGGCGTATTCGCGCAATCTCTGTGACCATCTGGGGTCTGCTTGCGAGCGGCCGCGCAGACTATACGTCATACGCTGGAGTGAGGACCACCCACGAGGGCCACCCACGAGTCAGCCGTGCTCCGTCCGGTTGATATATTAATATCAGACGGTTAACCCACCCTTTCTCATTTCTTAATGATCCTGAAAGACGGGATGTAACGCTGCTATGTACTTCGGTTAACTCGCTCAACTCCGGTACGTTGGATGGATGTACATTCTAGGGTACGCTTGCTTTGCGGGGTAAGCGCTGATTCGGCATTTTAACCTCCGACAACAGACCCTTCTCAATCCGAGTGGTAGCACCCTCTAGCAATTAGCATCTCCCACACCCTTGCATACCAACAATCAACTGCTGCACAAGCGTGATCAGCTATTCCGTATCCCATACATGGGTAATATAGGAGGCCGCAGCAACGGCTGCATTACGTGCCTTAGAAGGCACGTCAAATGCGGTAAGTTGCACGTGATACTACAAATTCCCGACGTACCCTCTAAACACTGGACAGACGAAGGGGAGCCTACGTGTGCGAAGTGCTATAGTTCAGGTCTCTTGTGCGAAGGCTACAGAGGCTTACCCGTCACCTTCGACCCACATGTCGAAAAAATCAATCAACACAACAACACACAAGGGCCCACGTCTGGGCAGGAAGATCCTGAGGCTGATGAAGAAATTGGAATGGTCAACCACAATCCAAATGTTCATGCAGAATCCTCTTCACGCAATGCTTCACATCCAGTCTCCAATGGCATTGCAAGGCGCATAAAGAGACCGCCACGAGGGCCTAGGAAAGTCTCGCAGTCGACCAGGCGAGCGAGCAATGTATCAGCCAGGCCGAATGTCTCCGTACAGAGCGCACTTGTGCCCTTCGAATTAAGTCTCTCGGCTTTTCAAGAACCGATATGTGTCACATTTCTCGTGCAAAATTTCTTGGGGCACTTGGATACCGGAAGAAAATCACTTCTACCCGCCTGGGATGTGAATCATGTATCTGGAACAGCAAGAGATTCAGTTAATGCATTGGCGTTAGCTTTCTTTGGCAAAGCTCATCATCAACAGGACATAGTTGTGCAGGGCGCCGAATGCTATGGGAAAGCGCTACTCAAACTCAGGGATGATCTGGATGACCATGACGCCATGTGGTCCTCTTCAGTTTTACTGTCATCCATCTTGTTGGCTCGCTACGAATTGGTTGCATCGACGGGCTCCGCGGGCTGGATCCAGCATGCAGGGGGTGTCGAACGTCTATTCGAGGCTCGTGGACCTCGGCGTCATCAAACAGTCGAAGAGCGTCACATCTTCGAGGCTGCCAGGCCGATCATCGTCATCAAGGCTATCACAGACTATAAGCGTACTTTTCTCGACCAGCCTGCATGGCTCACGCTTCCTTGGGCTCAAGATCCCGGACAGAAGTCTTCAATGAATCACCTCATCGACATATTCTGCGTTATACCTGGTCTACTCGAAGATTCCAAGGCATTGCGCTCCCCCACTTCATTCGTATGGGACTTCACGACCCCAACAAGCCCAGCCACCGACCCCTCGGTGACCAGGCACGATCCTCGTCTTGTAGCATTACGCAGACGCATCCAAAGCTGCTACATCAAACTGCAAAAGTGGAAAGAGGTCTGGGATGAGACCTACCCTTCCGCCGTACAATCCGTCAATCTGTCCTACTTCCCGCCTTCCGAACTCAAATTCCCCATTGAGATCTTCGAATACGCCATCAACTTCCCCAACTTCCTCCGAGCCAACGAATATCAACTCTACAACACGGTCATCTTCTTCCTATCCAGCTTGATGCTCTCCGTGCCCCCGTCTCCGGACGATCTGAACGCGGCCCCCTCGGTGTCCGACCTGCTCGGGCAGCGTTGGGACGCCGCGAACAACATCTGCCGCGCCGTGCCCTACGACCTGATGTTCGAGAAGCACGGCTGTGGCGGCGCCTACCTGTTGCTGTTCCCGCTGCTCACCAACCTCCGGCTTTTCGGCGCCGACAGCCCCGAGGGCAGGTGGATCAAGCAGGTGTTGACGGGGATCCGCAACAAGTGGGGGCTGGAGGGGGACAGGAAGTACATGGCCATTTGAACACCGTGGGAGCATCGCCGTGCCCGGGATGAGGGAAGAAAGAACGAAAGGCAGAAAGAGAGGAAGAAAGAGAGTGGGGAGCTAAGAAAGGGAGAAGCAGCGCAGGAAGCCAGACACAATCCCACAACGCTCGAACACCGGTCCCTTCCAAGTCAAAGGAGGAAGGCAAGATTGGCCAGGGAAAGAAGCGAAGCTCATACACACTCATCATGCCTTTCGAGCCACACGACGCGCGTGGCTCGTAATGGCACGGTGGCCGATCTCAGAGGATGACGGACGGACGGACGGTCCGGCGGCAGACGGCAGGTCTAGCTAGATCGATGAGGGAAGGACTGAGGTAGAGATGGGATGGGATGGGGGTGTTGTTCATGATGACGCTGCTGCTGCTGACGAAGGTTGACCATCCGGCCTTCAAAGCCTAGGCATTCGTCCCTTTGAGCGATTTAGACGGAGACGGCACGATGTTAGAAATCCTGGTAGTCTTGAAATTCTCATGCTCATGGACAGCAATGACCTTAGTATGGAGCAATCTTAGCTCGTAGGTGCAGTGAATGCATGGGAAGTGTAATTCGCAGAGGCTATCCAGATGTTCTAGAGCTATACACGTAGACCTCGGCGACGCGTAGAGGTCCCGACCACACGGCGCCACAAACGCTTCCCATGACCGCAGCCCCTCTCCAACATCAACCCACCGAGTGTTGTCATTGTCTAGAGATAGGAAGAGTCCCGACCCTTTCGCGATAATTTTTGATCCCCTTATTGAACCCGAATCCGCGACAAAACGGAAGACATCCTGCTACCTCGTTCGGTGTCAGGTCCGAAGTTTGACATAGCTTTCGCCAAAATCACGCTTTTGAAGCAAGAGCCGGAGTAATGCAGAATTAACGGATTGAAGGCAGCTATCGGTCTCTTCGAGAATGTGAAACGTTGAGGAAATCAGGAGCTTCTGTTGGAGTATTATTGTATGGTGACACTGCGCCCACAGAGCCCTACATGTCGAAGATGGAATGTGTTGTAGGAAAGCTGCCAAGGGTATCATGAAGCGTGATGTCCATGAGTTCCAAATGAGAACTGATATCGTGAACATGATCGCTCAGATCGATCATGTCCAGACTTTGCCGCATTTGTGATTCGTAGGTGTTATTGAAAGTAAAAGACTGGGTGAAGAAGGCGCACGTCTCATCAAGCGACAGCTGATTGGTCGGAAGGGAAAGCTGATTCCAGGGGCGAAGTTGTTGCAAATTGAAAGATTACCCTCCATTTGGCGAGCCTAGTCGAAAATCCAACAGATAGTCGAAGAGCACAGTCAATCTGCTGCATCATGTCGACCGATCTCGGGTTGAACATCCACGGATGCCAAAACAAGAAGTAGCAACAACAATTCTGATCAGACATCCTCAGGCGTAACCACGGGGGATGTCTCATCCTCCAATTGCTTTTGAAATGGCAATTTCGCGAGAATTGCCGTGACTCGTTGCGGCGTACCTTCCACTCCACGGACTTGCGTATTCTCCATTATCCACATCATCTGAGACTTAGCGCGTTCGGGATTTTTGGAGGGCCTCGTTTTGAAAGACAAATCGGTGACAACAGGCTCCCCCAACATTGTTGTCCCCTCGGGCATTGCCGCTAAGATTGACTCCGGCCTGAGTTCCATGCAGTGTGCAAGGGCCCAGGCGACCGTGCGGGTTTTCTCCTTGACGTTCTGATGAAGGTGATACTCCATACGAGCCCCTTGCAGAAGGTATTCGTAAGACGTCCTCAAATGATGGCGAAGAAGTTGCGGAGTACAGGAAGTGCTGACATGGGTTTCCTTGCCCCGACCAGCTCTGGTGTATGGTTTGTATGATGGTTTTGTAACTTTCAAGACCTTTTGTGGTCCAGGATCGGGAAATGTTTCGATACGGTATGCTCCTGGTCCTGCTTTTGCCAGGTAAGAGCGAGGTTTGAGGCGTTGCAAAGCTTGTGATAGAGTCATGGTGGCGACCTCATCGCTCCCCTTTTCAACAAGCTTCAGTGACGACTCGTCCGGGCGTGGATATTTCACTCGCTTGAGGGAGGCTAACTGTTTGGGGGATTCCTTATCAATATCTGCGGTAAATAGATGGTGTACAAGATGCATTGTACGGCTTCCCTGGCATTGGGTCGGCTTTAAAGCACGGCGTGGTATTATAGACACACTCATATGATAACGCAGAAGATAGGCATGTATCGAATGATCAGACAGCATCTCTATACGTTAAGAGCCAACGGATCAGTAAGCATTGTGCAAGCATTTTGAATCACTCGATTTAAATTCAGAGAGCTAGAGCTAGCTTTTTTAGGCATAGCTCAGCACAGCGCCAAGGATTCGGATGTCTTCAGGGCCCATTTGTGTTTTGCTCCTTCCCTTACGAGCAAGGCATTACCAATGGACGATTGATCCTTCGTCTCAAGGAGCCAATCATCTTCTCGTCTTCTCATCTTCTCTCAGGCTCTTTCCGTCGAGCCTGAGATGGCTTGATTGATAAGTACCCAAGAATGGAGACATCTTGACTCGGAGTTGATTCGGAGCTCGGGCATCGACTTCCACCTCCCCAGTCATGGCCAGAATAATTGGAGAGCACCACCACATCGCGAGTATAAGTGTCCCGCTTCTTCTTTGCTAAACGTTTGCTACACTTATCGCGCTTCAAGCTTCTTCCTGCTCTTCCTCTACCCTCCAGTACTCTCTACTGCCAGCATCCAACCGCCCAGACCCTATTCTCAACCACAGCAAGCATGTTCTCTCGCTACGCCGCCGCCCACCAAAATTCCAAAGGGCCCGGAGATGCCCGCCCTACAGCCCTCGACATCGTCAGAGATGAAGGCCTGCTAGGCAAGCTCACGGACAAAGTCGTCCTCATCACTGGCTGCTCTTCAGGCATTGGCGTCGAGACCGCCAAAGCTCTGAATACTACGGGTGCGAAGCTGTTCCTGGGAGTCCGCGACACCGCCAAGGGACAAGCCGCCCTCACCGACATCCTGAAGCCGGGGTATGTCGAGCTTTTGCAGATGGACCTGAACTCCCTCGACAGCGTGCGGTCGGCGGCAGAGGAGTTCCAGAAACAGAGTAAGACGCTCAATATTCTCATCAACAATGCAGGCGTCATGGCGACACCAGAGGGTAGAACGGCGGATGGCTTTGAGACTCAATTCGGCACCAACCATCTCGCCCACTTCCTACTCTTCCAGCTCCTCAAACCTACCCCTTTCGCCTCCTCAACCCCAGGCTTCAACTCCCGCGTCGTATGCCTTTCCTCCTCCGGCCACCGTGGCGCTGGCATCCAATTCGACGACTACAATTTTGAGAAACGCGACTACGCGCCCTGGACCGCATAGGGGCAAAGCAAGACGGCGAATATATACATGGCGAACGAGATTGAGCGACGCTACGGGGCAAAGGGTCTACATGGGCTGAGTGTGATGCCTGGTGGGATCGTGACGGGACTGCAGGTGCACGACTCTCGGCCGGGATGGACGCGGCGCGGTATTATATGAAGAGTCCAGAACAAGGTGCCGCTACCACGGTGTATGCGGCGCTGAGCAAGGAGTGGGAAGGGAGGGGTGGAAGGTATTTGGAAGATTGCCAGGAGGCCGAGGAGACGAATGATCCCTCCCCATTAGCCGTGGGATATCATTCTAGGGCGTATAACGATGAGGGCGAGAAGAAGCTGTGGCGGATTCTCTAAAATTCGTGGGAATCAAGGACGATATATAGGTTAGAATCGGCCAGGCCTCTGGCTTTGCGGTAGCTACACCGACCTAGCTGAAAGATTCATACCAAGCTCTTCAAGCCTTCCTCTTCATGAGCTGCAGCACCCTTGACTGCCACCGAGTCGTTCCTTTCAAGATATACCGGATCTTTGTCGCCAGTCGTCGTTTCGGTAATAGCAGCACCATCCTCTCCTGCAAACATACGGTCAAAGTCCTCTAGCTCTCGGCCTTTACTTTCGGGAAAGAACAGATATATAATTGGCACCCATGTTGCCTGTCAACATGACATCAGTATTCTTCGAGACGGCCGCAGCTTCCAAGGCTTCAATGCCGTGTTCTACTCACATTTAACACAGCAAAGATGACATAAGTCCTCCATCCCACATTTTCAATAGCCGGCGGTGTGATTTGCACAATGAGGAAATTGCATATCCAATTTGCCGCAGTCGATATACTCGATCCCTTCTGCCTAAGTCGCAACGGCAGGATCTCAGATGGATAGACCCAGACGGTAGCTTGGAAGCCGATCGTGAAGGCGCCTTCGAAAAGGAACAGCATGACTGCGCCAGCGATTCCAGCAGCGTAGGCTGCGGAGGTCTTGAACTGGACCTGGTAGACCAGCGCGGCTTGGGCGGCCATTACCAGAGCCATGACGGTGATCATGGAAAGGAGTAGCGGCCGTCTGCCGATGCGGTCGATAAGTAGCCATGGGATAAAACTTGCGACGAAGAACCAGAGCTGCAGGAATCCGGACATGAGGGCTGAGAGGTGGTTGCTGAAGCCGACATTCTTGAAGAGCGTGCTTGAGTAATAGATGATCGCGTTAATGCCACCTAATTGTTGAAAGGCTTGGATGGCGCTGGAGATGAGAAGCCTCCTCCTACTATGGATCTTGTCAGCACTTAGTATCGTTCTCCACGATCCAGCGTTCATTGCTGCTTCTTCCTCAACCGCTCTGACAATGTCGCTGTGCAGCCTCACGATGGCCTCGTCGTCCAAAGTATGGCCCTTTAAGCGCCGAAGAACCGATAGTGATTCATCAGACCGGTTGTGAGCGGCGAGCCATCGTGGACTCTCTGGCAAGACAAAGATGATTAAAAGCATCGGAAATAGGAAGACGCATTGCAAGATGACGGGGATCCGCCAAGCGTAGCTCGAAGTATGCGTGGAGAAAGCGTAGTCGATCCAATACACAAGATCGGTACCGAAGTTCAGCGTCGAAAGCTGCATGCAGACATACAAGCCTCTGCTGGCCTTCGGGGAGAACTCTGACTGAAATACCGGTACCGTCGAGTTGATAAACCCCATGCCGCATCCGGAGACGATCCTAGCAACGATGATGTGCGCCCGCGTGTAGGCAGTGGATTGCAGTAGGGAGCCGACAATCATGATAACGACTCCGATCGCAATGCTCTTTCGTCGGCCGAGAGTTTCACCGATGAGAGATGTTGCGACTGCGCCGAGGAAGCATCCGACTATCACAGACGATCTGGGTAAACTTTCATCTCCCACATGCGTCCATGCGGACGTAGAACCTACTGTCATTTATAGATACTATCGTTCCAATCATGGTCTGGCTGGGTTTATTGAACGTGCTATTGAAGGCATCGCCGTTGACTAGACAAGTCTTGGCGATTAGTGGCTCCACACTATCGTAGTGTATGAATATGTTGGAACAGACCCAAGCCTCCCAACAGCCCATTGTCATAGCCAATCATCAAAAAGCCTAGAGACGTGAGGGTAGTGACCGTTGCCAACAAGGCAGGGCCGCGGAGTTCGGGCATCCTCGCGAAATGTCAGAAGAGAAGTAGCAGGATAGAAAGGAGTCGAAAAGCTCCAAGTGACAGAGAGGATGACCCGGCAGGTGCGCTGCTAGACGGCGTGGCAGCGATGGTTTTTTTTAAATCGCATAACCTCATACCTTGGCAATTGTCAAAGCGAATGTCAAAACAGGTCTGCCAGGAGAGCTCCTATAGATTGACAGACCATACCTTTGACATGGCATCATTTTACGAGCATTTGAGAGGTTGAGGTCTCTCACCATTTGGCCGCGGGATTTAAGTTGGCAACGTCGCATCATGGCCTGTAGTGAACCGTGGACCGGTGCTGACAAACACGTTGGAAACAGGACGGATCAATGTTCCCCGCAAGCATTTCCTCAGCAAGAGATGGTGTGGAAGGCAGCGGGGTAAGGGACATGGTGCATATGCATGGTCGATGATATGCATGCAGCTTGTCGATAGCCCGCATTATGAGGTTATCTGCAGAGATCGATGTCATTCGACTCAAGTACGACTTGTGCCGCGTGGTATACTTCATCCTGGTAAGACAAGAAGACGAGAGGGACTGATCAGAGGTGTAACTAGGGGAAAAGCTCGAGCTGTAAGCCCAAGGTCAGACGGTAGGAAATTTGACTGAGCACCGAGGTTCAACCGAATTCATATCTTGGCACCGACGATCTTTGCGGTCATATTTCTTTTCGTCCCGTCTTTTTAATTTCTCTTTCCGTCTAAACAGGGGGCGTACTGGTATTGAGGCTTTCCGTTTCAATGAACATCAATTGTTCCTTCCACGTCAACAATTCCATAGCGTCCCGGTCGCCGAGAGGTAACGTGGCGACAGGTCTTTCTGCATGGCTACAAGGATATATACGAGTCCCTGCATTCGGCACCGACCTTATCTGGAAGAATCTCAGCTTGAGCAGATACAAGACGGCGCATCTCGATTACAATCGATACCTTGTCAGCCGCTGTCTGGAGGACTACTGCAAGCCACCCACCATTTCAAGATACATTGCGTCATCCGTATTCCGTAAGCCCAATGAGGGCTCGTCGATCCGGCTACTGGCTTAAAATTGACTCGTCGAGTACAGTGTATATGAGACAGCTTAACGTCAATCTGCCCAACACCATCCATGTGTCCGATGATGTCGAAGGATCATAATGGAAGTAGGCAAACGAATAAGACATGCAGAGCCGTGGAGAAGTTGTCAAACTTGCAAGCAAGGATCTATCCGGTGTGATGAGGAACGACCTGTCTGTTCAAATTGCACTAAATCTGGCCTTGTCTGCGAATACACACGATCGCAACACACAAAGGCTCCGAAATATGTCCAGGCCGACCATGGTCCACTCGCCACTCGGCCTTCACCAGCAGCTCAAGATTACACCTTGCCTCCAACCAGCCAAGGTCTTGCAAGCGAGACCGCTCTTACAAGTGCGAGTATACCTCCTAGCCTTGATCCTTATCCACAGTCGTTGCTTCCCTTGACCCCGGCGAAGAGGGCACTGCTAGCCTTTTGTAAGCGACTTATTATGCCTGACTGTGAGCCTCCAGGCTGACTGCTCCGCTATAAAGATACCGAGGAAATAATCCCAGAGGTCTTCCCAATCCCGGCCGTGAATCAGGCTTGGAACCAGACCATCATCCCGCAAGCATTCATCGAACCTGCTTTGCTGCACGCACTCCTAGGTATCACCTCCAGCACCCTCATGCTGAAACATGTCAAGCCCCTTAATCCATCGGCTGCGTTTACAGAGCTCCAGTTGCATAAGGTTGCGAGTATCAACCTTATCAACCGCAAATTGCAAAATGTCTTGGACGCAACCCAGCTGTCAACCATCTTGACCGTTCTCACTCTATTTGGTTGCGAAGTAAGAGCGCCCAATTGCAGCCATGTGCGACGTGCTCACAAATCTACCAACAGCTAGGTGTGGAGGAAGACTCGGATGCAATCCAGATACATTTGAAAGGTCTCAGAGAACTTATCAACCTGCGAGGCGGCTTCGATGGGTTGCCGGTCTTTCTCATTCAAGTTGCTCTGTTGTATGTCTTTGTCCTGCGATTTCAGCATCAAACTTGATCTCATGCTGAAGAAAGGCGTTCCAGTGGAGACCTTGGGTTTGCTGCAACACGACGCTCGTTACCTTCCTTTCCAATTGTCCCAATGAAACCAAAGCTTCCAAAGAATACACTTGACCGGATTTCTGCCGGAATCGATCCCAGGCTTCGCCTACTTGGAATGGAGCTTATGAAGTTCAAGGACCTGCTTGATCCAGATATGAGTCAAGCATACCGCGATCTGAGCGTCGTCATTGCCTTCAGAGAGTTGTGTAGTGGAGGGGTCGATGTCACGCTCTATGAGGTTGAATACTTCGAGACTTTGGCTCTGCGTGTCCAGCACCATTTGATCACGTTCTTATCTACGCACCTCTATCGACGAGACTCCGACATACAATCGATCTGTCGGGTGACCGTACCGATCTTCGCTGTCAGATACCAATACAACATTTACGGGCCCTCTATGATCATGGACAGTATGGTGATTCAACTCTACGAAGTCTTGAGTAGTCTGGATCTCGCCGAGTCGTGGAAAAGTTTCCCCTCAATCCTGGTCTGGGCGTTCATGTTCGGTATCTGGATATCGAAAGAGAAGCGTATGAAAGAATGGTTTTTGTTCAAACTTGCCGAGGGATCCCACGGTATATTGTCCTGGCAATGGATTGAGATACGCGATACCTTGCAAACGCTTTTCTACGTCGATCGCTTGCAAAGAGCAGAATTCGAGAGCATTTGCGAGGAGGTGCGTTTGCTGGTGCCACATGCTGGGCAGATGCAGCCGGAGTCATTAAAGCAATCTGGTCCGGACTGGGCAGACCCACGCGAGTAGCTCATTTGTTGTGGATCAATTCCACTCGCTACTGTGGAGGTCGGGCGCCAAGCCACCTTAGTATCCCGTGCATCTCAAGCATCTCAAACGCTCTTTGAGCCTTGAAACACCAATTTGTCCGACGCGCCCCAAAATTACCGAAAAAGATTTGTGGTGAGTGAAAATGTACATATTTGGTGTCCCTGCTAACCGAAACGCTGCTCGTGATGAGTCAGGAGTCATAGCTGTCTCGCGTGTGTAGAGCTCCTACAAAAATGAGTCACAACTGCCCCAGTGTGGTTGCTTCGATGACGACGGTGCTCCCGTATCCACGCTAAGTATAGGAGACATGTCTTCATCGAAATTGCCTTTTTCCAAGTTCCATGTCTCACCGATCCAATAATGGTATAATGTCAGCTTTCCGCGCGAGACAGGAGAGTTCAATGCCTTATTTAGCTCTGAGCCCGCTCTAGATCTGCAGCGTTCAGTCGCAAGATCTTTGGTGCTCTTCTCAGGAGTAACTCTCACATTCATTCCTGTCGTTGTGTCAGCTCCATTTTCAAATGTTCTTGCCAGCCAGGACTCCTCTCTGTAGTAATTCTTTTCTCGTATATACCAGAGCAGTCTAAGACTGTGGGCGCCCATCGAACATGAAGCCTTACGCTTTGCACGCTGATCGCTGCCGCATACCTTCCCTGTAGCTTTCTGGGTCATCCATCGGAGCTCAAAGGTAAAGTAGCAACGCCAACACTAGCATGCTGACAAACGCACAAGGACGTCAAGGAACCAAGCAAGGCGTCTACTCATCCCCAGGAGCCGCGGGACCGAAAGAAGCAGCCCTTGTTGCCGCAGGCGCCACTGCCCTGGACTTGGCCATTGCTATGATCGGAATGTTCGTTGCAAGACTCACATATTCTGGCTGAGTATGCGACTGACAAGTTATGAAGCGGCATGTCTCTATCTCCCGATCCGAACCCTCTGAAGCACGGCGAACACGACGCTTGTGCAAACCCCAGCAACCCAACGGACTCGTCAAACCCATGCGCCCTTACCTTTGGCCTCTTCAACAATGGCTGGAGGCAGATAACCCAAGCGTGCACACCATGTCTCGGCCTGAACGAGTCTCAAGAGGCGCAAGGCCTGCCGTTGATGTACGCAGCTATTTCCCAACGATAAGTGGCCCGCTGCGTAGTGCTTTACGCTGACTCTGAGCTGAAGTCGCAGTGCCGACGATGCCCTTGCGATCCAGTGCCAACACCAACAGATGGCCGATCCTCTGTTCGGTAACGGTGGCGACCTTACGCGCTGGGTCGTCGCGCAGACGTAAGTCTTTCTCCGAGATAATCCCATCTCTTCCAGCCGGCAGCGAACTGATTTTCTGCTCATCGCCAGCGCCGGTATCAGTGGATACAACGATTAGAAAAGCAGCGGCTGTCTCCCGAATCGCGCGCAGTCGTATACGAGCAAAGTGTACTCGATGTCGAAATGGATCACGCAAGGAAATCATATGGCCGACGAATGGGAAATGTGATCTGAGATTGATCGTACGCTCCTTGTCCGCCCTCCCCTCCCCAACCACCCCCCCTTTGGTCAGCAACTACGATTTAGCGCTCGTAGCACCTTGACGCAAAGACTGACTTTTCGTCAATAGCGCTCACTGCTCCAACACCTTGCCTGTACCCAGGTTGCGGTACGCTCCAAAGCCTTGATCGTACTGACGATTGCGTTGATCAGCAATTTGGTTTGCTATGGCTGTATTTCTTGAAAGCGTAGTGGACTCGCTGGTGTCTGCGTTCAGACTTTGCTCCACCAGGGGGGGCGACCAAAGTCGCCGGAGTCAGGGTCCGGCTTGATTCCGGGATGGGAAGAAATCGAGGTGCTCAAACAATCTCAACACGCACGACGGTACTCAATGAACCTTGAACAAATCTGAACGGTAGCTTTGCCTCTTAGGACCTATTTCTGAGATTCTTGAGTTGCTAACTTTGGCTGTGGTGGATCTGTTATATTGCAAGATGGTCGCTGTGCAACATAAGTCTTGGCGTCTCGGTGACTGTTGTCACCCACTAGTGCTGGCACGGATGGGCCGTTTTGTTCCCCAAGTTGTATTCTCCCTGTGCGCTTATGATTATAGAATGTTTCGAAAGCAACAAGAAACGCGAACTCTTTGAAGCGCATGTCGCGCAACGTCGCGATCTCTCTCTCTTCTTTAGTTGCAAGGGGATTCATGGCAATTAAACGAAGGACATGTTGCGGAAGTTCGATGGAAGATGTATATAATGCTATAAATATATGACTACCGAATTCGATCCTCTGGAACCGCACCTAGATTTGTCTCCCCCCGCCTCATACTCTCTCCAGCAACAATGTATGGCATTTTGCCTTCTTCTCCTCTGTTACCTTATCCTCGCTTCCCTCACGGCACTGGTACCGGCCCCTAACACCTCCACTCCAAGGCTGCCCACGGGTGAGATTATAACCTCTGAATCTCTCAAGACTTCCACTCCACCCAGCCTCTCCTCCAACTCCTCAGCTCTCGTGGACAATTTCCTGCTTCCCTACCGCTTCAAGGTGCCCGATACCAACATCCTCCTCCGCCTCTGCTTTGGCATCCGCCGCAGTCTCGACCGAAATCACATGCGCTCTCTCATCGCCGTCGCCGAAGACTACATCGACGAGCAAATCGCAGCCCTACCTCCTGCAACCCCGGACTTCCAACATGTGTACCCCGTCGCTCAAGGGCGAAACCAAACATTTTACGAGTCTCTCGATGACGCTATCTGGCTTGTGATCGGCAACCATCACCAAATCGGCAAACTCTTCACGTGGGATGACTTGGAGGATGTGGTAATGGGCTTGAGGATGTATTTGGTTGATGGAGACAGGTTTTGGCAGACGTGGTTCAGATTTTATGTTGGAGATGTTGCACCAGATACCACGATGAGCTGTATGGGGTATGGGAGTCCGGGTCCGGAGGAGTACGGGAGGAGTGATGAGATGGACGCTGAACTCGCTGCGGAAGAGAGGAGGTGATGTGCATGTCATTCACGTGGGCCATTAGCTATTCCACCCTCGTTGGGGGTGGGAGTGAAGTTGGATGAGGCTGATGACGAGATTGATGTGGAGCTTGCCGCGGAGACGAAGAGATGGGCATGTCCATGACGGGCAATTAGCTATTGCAAAGCGATTGCACTTATAGGACGAGAAGATCCGAATCACCGAAGCGGCACATGAGGCAAAAGTGCGTCATAAGTTGCTTTCCTGGAAGACATCAGTGCCGACTCTCAGTGTTATTAAGAGGGAACACGGAGAGCGTATGGTGACATGGTGACAGGTCTGCCGAGTCTTTTGCCACGAGCTAAGTCGGCTACGTTCCTGCAGACTGCACTGTCATCCGCTAAATCTAGATCTCATGCACTATGAATCCATATTGGGCAATGAAGCGACCTCGAAACAGGCCTTCTGCGATCACTCCGTTACTAAAGTACCGTGGTACGAGATCTTTGCATCTTTGACCGAGGAGAAGGCTCGTTCATGTGTCTAACCGAATCTGGCCTAGATCCGTCTTATTCAATTTTACGATCGCCGTAGCCGGGCGTTGCCGAAAGATTTCATTTTTACTCTCCGCCCGCTTCCCAGGAGCCTCCTACCTTTTTCTTCTTCCTATCATGCAAAAGCAATACCCAATTTGGTCCATATGCATGTCAAGCCAATCCACATGTACCTTACAGAAAACAGAGAAAGGAAGCGAGACCCAGCATCCTTTGCAGGCAACAATTTCCAGCACAGGGCACTATTTTACGCGAGGAAGATGCAATATGCCGACTTCGGTGACTTCGGTCGCCTATACAAAATGCCATCTGTGTCTCTTAACCCGGATCCGTTGATTTTGCATGTTTCCCTCCGCTTGGGAAAGCTTGAATATCCTGATTGTGATGATTCAGTGCATTGTACGATGGTCTCGGCCTGGTCGCACTCGACCGGGCAGCTCTTTCGAGAATCTTGTGATCTGACACGTCTCTAATATATATCTGCATGCGGCTGCGCGCAAATATGTTGTCCCTCTTTCCTCTCTATTCTCTTTCCATTAACCGCCATGTTTTCCTTGGGTCTCCTTTTGTTGGGCTGCAGCCAGCTTGCATTCGCAAAGGTCGTCAAGTACGACTGGAGCATTGATTGGGTCAACAGGAATCCCGATGGAGCTTTCCCCCGGCCTGTCATTGGGATCAATGGCGAGTGGCCATGCCCGCAGATAGACGTTGACCTCGGAGATCACCTCATCGTCACCATCTACAACAACCTTGGCAATGAGTCAACCGGCCTTCATTGGCATGGACTGAACCAGTATGGGCATGCGACCATGGACGGTTCTGCTGGAACAGCCCAATGTCCAGTGCCTCCGAACAGCAGCTTCACCTATTCCTTTCCAGTAGGCTGCACGCTGCTCTGATTAAGCATCACCGCTGACAATGTTCCCAGATAAATCAGACAGGCTCCTATTGGTACCACTCGCATACTCAAGGCCAATACCCAGACGGGCTGCGGGGGCCTCTCATTGTTCACGACCCGAATTTTCCCTACCATTTCGACGAAGAAATGACGATGACGTTCTCGGATTGGTACCATGAGGAGATGCCCACACTCCTGAACTACTACCAATCCACAGCCGATGTCAACAATAATTCCATCCAATCCGGGCAGGCGCCAATCCCAGTCGCGGGCCTCATCAATGACAGCCAGAACAATACCATCAAGGTGCTGCCAGGAAAGACATACCTGATTCACATGATCGACATGGCGAACTTCCCCGGTGTCGCCGTCTACTTTGATGGACATCCTTTTACCGCCGTTGGAGTTGATGGCACCACCGTCGAGAAATATTACCTGGGGTCCGAAATTCTGCGCCTCGCACCCGCCCAAAGATGGGACATACTAATCACGACTAAAAACGATACGAGCAAGAACTTTGTCATCTTCGCGACTCTCGATGTCAACATGTTGTTCCCACCTCACGGTATTCCGACGATCGAGGGCTGGAACGGTAATACGACAGCGTGGCTCGTCTACGATGAAGAGAAGCCTCTACCGCCCCAATTGACATTCTACGAATTCGAGTTCTTTGATGAGGTCAACAATCTCATACCCTATGACCGCATGCCTCTACTTGAACCCGTGGACCGGCGCATAGAGATGACTTTGAACAACGCGACCTTTGACGGCATCACTCGTTTCACCATCAACAACATCACCTACCTCCCCCAAAAGGTCCCATCTCTCTACACTGCCCTCAGCGTTGGCAACTACAGTACAGACCCGGTGGTCTACGGCGTCAACAGCAATCCCTTCGTACTGAAATACGGCGAGATCATCGAGATCGTGGTGAACAACCAGCATGAGAATCTCCATCCCATGCATCTCCACGGCCATCAATACCAAGTCCTGCAGCGTGGGTATCCCGACACCGGCGGCATATGGGACGGGGTCTACGACAAGAACGTCTCTGCCACCCCTGTCCGAAGAGATACTGTCATGTTGAACAAGAACTCGTCATCCGTGTGGCGTTTCCGGGCCGACAACCCCGGAGTCTGGCTCTTCCATTGCCACATCGAGTACCACATCACGTCCGGTCTCGTCGCTACCATTGTCGAAGCACCTGACTACCTCGGCAACCTCACAATTCCGAAAGATCACATTGCCGCTTGCAAGCACTACGGGATGTCTTACGAGGGTAACGCGGGAGCCAACACGAGAAATCCTCTCGATGTGTCTCTCCAGGTGACCGCAGCGAACGCTAGTGCATTTTCCCCCAACTATGGGTAAGACACTTCCAAACCCTTGATATAAACATTTCGCTGACAAGTTAATCCTAAGTGCAACCTTCCCACCACCCATCGGCGCCGGATCCTCAACATCCAAGAAGCGGAGTCTCCGGGGCCCGGCTATTAAAGACCGGTTGGTGAGATTGGGAAACTAGGATAAGGTATAGAAGTTCGGGAAGCTATCTTGGTGGATTTGATGCGTAAAGCGCGCTTCACCGAGACAATCGTCATGGCGTCGCGTCGAGGCTGCATCGCTGGATGCAGTTAGCTTGCCGTTGTCTGTCCATAATCTATAATATGTACAACACTAAAATTAGATTAAAAATTAATTCTATCTAACCGTTCTATACGTCCAATTTATTCCTCGCCAATTAAAGTGCATGACACGATTCAGAGCCATCCAAGGGGAGTTTTTTCCATTGCCTTCCTTTTCGCGGATCTCACTACTGCCATTAGTGCCAAGATCTGCGCGTCAGAGTGCCTCGGCACTAACGACCGTTGACCGAAAGTTGCGCTTGACCGAACGGCGAATCCACAAGTAAGTGTACAACGTCCTACGAGAGATAGTCGGTGTGCTGAGGTCAGCCGTCGCCTTTCCCCTGTCAACTGCACATTTCCGCTGGCACAACTTGACGATCGGAAACCGAGAAACGTGACAGTCGTGCATCTCCGCTCTACCATCAGCCAAAAGAATAGGTGCCATATAGACTTCCCTAACCTTCCATACGTCCAGCATCGTACCTGCGTAACCTTTACCCAACCCTCTCCCGCCCTGATGGTAAAGATCGCCGTCCTCGGCGCCGGCGGCGGAGTCGGGCAGCCGCTCTCGCTCCTCCTCCGCCTCTCACCGCTCGTCTCCACGCTCGCGCTCTATGACCGGCTCCGCGCGCCCGGCGTGGCCGTCGATCTCTCCCACATACCCACCGCGAGCCCACGATCAGTGTCCGGCTACACCGGCGCCTCCGACGGGCTGGCGCGAGCGCTCAAAGACGCCGACGTGGTGATTGTGGCGGCGGGGGGAGGCGTCACGGCGGAGGTGGCATCGCGGGACGCGTTGTTCCAGCGGAGTGCGGCCGTGGTGAGCGAGCTGGTGAGGGAGTGTGCGCGGGTGAGCCCTGGAGCGGTGATGCTGGTCGTTACGAATCCGGTCAACGCCATTGTGCCTTTTACCGCCGCGTTGCTGAAGGCGTACGGGGTGTTTGATGCGCGGAGGTTGTTTGGGGTGACTGCGCTTGATGTGGTGAGAGCGGAGACGTTTTTGGCGGAAGCGGAGGGAAAAGATGGTGGTGGTGGGTATGCGAAGATAGATGTTGTAGGAGGGCATTCGCCGCAGACAATCGTGCCGCTTATGAGCCAAGCGCAGCCTCCTGCGCGGGTGAAAGGGATAGCGTTGGAAGGAGTTGTGAATCGGGTTCGGCTTGGAGGGAGGGAGGTGTTATATGCCAAAGAATGGAACGGTGCTGCTACATTGTCTACCGCTTATGCCACCTTACGATTCACAGAGGCTGTATGCAAAGGTCTGCTAGGAAAAGGAGGCGAGGCGCAATGTGCCTATGTGCATCTTCCAGGTATTGAAGGTGGGGATGAGATAGCCGAGGCCGTCGGCGTAGATTATTTTGCTGTGCCGGTCGACTTTGCGGTGAAACCTTCCTCTCAAGATCCAATCTGTCGGAAGGCCAGCATACTGACTGTGACTGCCAGATGTATGGGGCGAGTCGAGTTGTTAATCCGCTGAGAACGATCAGTTCAGAGGAACAAGCTCTAATCCACATTGCGACTCCCGCCTTGCGACAGAACGTTCAAACAGGTTTGGACGCTGCTGAAGACTACCTATCTCGTGGGAGGTCCCAGTGAGAACCCGTACGTCAACCACATCTATGCTTGGATGTCGATTCGAGTTGACTGGCGAATAACGAAAGGACATCTTCTCTAAGATAATTGTAAAAAGAATACCAGCTGATAGAAGCGCGATGATCTCAACAATGGATCTCAAACTCTGCCAACGTTCTCACTTCCAACCTCAAATTTTGGGACGTCCTGCCACACGGCGGTCATGGTTAGTGCTGCCGGCTTCATGCAACGATAGAACGCCTCTGAGCTGCAACTAGCCCACAATCCTCCTCTGGCAGGGCACACGCATTCTTGCAATGTCCCATGATACGCAATCACACCACCGTCGCTGCAATTCCAAATGCCGCCAAAGGCCCAATAATGCTGGGGCTCACCACCATCAAAACGCTCTTCGCATGCACTTGGGACAATGAGCGCCGTTCATACCGGCCAGGTACTAAACGCTTCAGGCACATATACCCCTTTTGCCCGCCTCTTAGAGCCTCTACTAACGCCCCCAGGCCACCCCTCGACGAATCCGCTACTACTGGCAATCGAGGCCGCAGCCCAACAGCTACCTACTACTACTTATAAACGCGTTAAAAGACCCTCAAAAAGAGCCCGAACGGATTTATAGCCATCGTCCTCCCCTACATACTCCTCCCAAGCCAGCGATACTCGACCAGCCGCTTAGTCAACACTACCTACCCTATCAGCTCAGCAATCCACTTAGTTAGATCGTCAGCCAGTCACTCAGTTATCCACTCAGTCAGCCACTCAGCTAGCCACTCAGTCTAATACTCTACAAGAGGAGGAGTAAGAGGAGGAACTACAACAGGCAAATGCGGAGAACACTGGGAGAAACTAAGCGGCAACAAGGCCACCATCGTCAAGAACACGGCTCAGCTCTCCAAGATCCCACATTATATCAGTCATCCACTCAGTCAGCCACTCAGCTAGCCACTCAGTCTGATACTCTCCCTACAAGAGGAGGAGCAAGAGGAGGAACTACAACAGGCAAATGCGGAGAACACTGCGGAGAAACCAAGCGGCAACAAGGCCACCATCGTCAAGAACACGGCTCAGCTCTCCAAGATCCCACGTCATATCAGTCATCCACTCAGTCAGCCACTCAGCTAGCCACTCAGTCTGATACTCTACAAGAGGAGGAGCAAGAGGAGGAACTACAACAGGCAAATGCGGAGAACACTGCGGAGAAACCAAGCGGCAACAAGGCCACCATCGTCAAGACAGCTCTCCAAGGTCCCACGTCATATGCTCTCCACGGTTCCACATCAAATCATCACTCGGAACGATGCATATTTGGACGAATTGAAACCGCCCGATGTCTACAGCTATTTCATTATTCGAAAAATTTCACTGCGGCAGGAGATATTGTGGGATTCACACCACTAATTGGCACGTTGTCTCCATTTCTTTCCGGTATTTCGATAAAATAATAGCTAATATTAATATAGCGTAATCTCTTATAATTTATAAGATTCTTTATTAGATTAATAGCTCTCTTATTATTATATTATATTATAAATAATCTATTTAACTATTATTCTAGCTATAATATAATATAGCGTATTTATATTATATCTTAAGTAGTATTAGAAGTAGCTATATATTCGATCTTATATATAAATTATATTATAGTCTTCTACTTAGTAAACCTTTAATTAATTAATTTACTATTTAATATTATAATTATTTTAACTATTAATTATATTATAGATATCTTATCGACTTAATTAACGTCTAAGTATTTGAATAATTATAATATTATAATTTTTATAATTTCGAAAACTACTTCTTATATTCTAGTTTTAATTAGATATCGTAATATCCTCTTATATACTTATTAATATTTATAATTTAAATTAAAAGAGAATACTATTAGTTTATTAATAGTAAACGCTATATTTAATTATATCTAAGTAGTTAAATAATTAATTTTCTCTAAATTAGTTTTAAATATAATAATATTCGCTAAATCGATTATATATATATTAGATATAGAAATAAGATAGTTATTTATATTTAATTTCATTAAGATAGACGATATACGATACTCTCTTATATTATAAGTTTTAAGAATCTTATTAATAAATATAGATTAACTTATTTTAAATATTCTTATTAAGCGATTTCTTTCGATCTTTATACTTAGATAATATATATATAGATCGAGATTTACGATATTAAATTATTTATATAAAAGTCTCTTAGCTTAATTAATTAATAGTCGATTATCGACGATTTTAATATTATCGATATAGATAATTAGAAAGATAATTTCTTAATTTAATTTATAGAGAAATAGATATAAGTCGAATTATAAATATATATTTCTAATTTTAAATAAATACTCTATTAGCGTCTTATATTACTTATAATTAAATTATTTTAATTTATATAATAATTTAAATAATAAATAAACTTAATCTTAATCTAATTCGATAAAGTCTTCTAGCTATTTTATATAAATTTTATACTTAAATTCTATATATAGAAATACTATTATAATGTTAACTAAATCTACTTTCTAATTATAGTATATAATTAAAGTTAGAAGAATCTTTTATATAATTAGCTTAATAATATCTAAAAAGGTTTTATTATAGTCGATATCTTCTTATTAAAGAAAGCTCTTAATAATATATCTACTCTTATAACGTAGAATTTCATTATCTATCTCTAACTTCTTCTTATAAATCTATCTTTTCTTAAAAATAGTATAATATATTAATTTTAATACTAGCTTTTATATCTTTATTTTTTATAATAAGTTCTATTACTTCTATATAGCGATTATTTATTAAAATACTTTAGACTTATTAATTACTTTATTATAAATATAAGATTTAATATTAAATATAAGTAATATAACTCGTATTAACTTAATAAATCTCTTCTTTATAATATCGAAGTTAGTTTATTTATCGTCTTAAATAATATAATAATTCTTTAATATATTCTTTATTCGCTATAAATATCTTAATAAATTAGATATAAGAAAATTTAATATATTAGAAATAATATTCTTCTAATTACTTAATTTAAATAAATTCGAAATATAGTTAATCTCGAAATTTTCTAAATCTATAGACGAATTTTAGACTATAGTCTTAAAGTCTTCTTTAGATATATTTATTATTATTTTACTATTTATAACTAATAAGAAAGAAGCTTTTAGAAATAATAAAATTCTTTTAGCGACGATAATAGTATTTATAACGTTTTTATCCTCTAATATCTTATTTAGCTCGTTTTTAATATTATTAAAAAGCGAGATAAAAGTTTAAAGAGATTTTTATAAGATATTATATCGTTATACTAGACGAGATTTAGTTTAATTTTATAATCGATATTAATTAGATTTCTCGTAGTTAAGTAAGATATATTTAAACTCTTATTTAATTTTTTTCTTTTATTTATATTTATAATTATAGACGTAAATTATTATTTTAATTAATCTTAAATAAGCTATATTTAGCTTCTTTTTAATAAGGGCCTAATATAATATTATAATTATCTTTCTTAATAGAATTATTAATAAGTAGTTTATATTTAGAATAGCTATTTTAATAGTCTTAGTCTATAAGCTTAATAATAAATCTATAACTATTAATTAAGTATATATCTTCTAAATAAGAATATTATTAATATGCTTATTAATACTATTTTATTTAAATAAATTAAATATAGTTACTTCTTATCGTATATTTTAAAAAGCTAACTAATCTCGAGTTTTTTTATTATTATACTTACTATAGTTATTAAAATAATACTATTTAAAAATAGTATAAAACTACGTTTTAATTATAGTAATAAAGTTTTATAATAATTAAAATATCTAATTCTTAATTTTTAAGAAGTCTACTTATTAAAATTAAGTCTTTTAATTAACTTTTATAGAGTAATAGTAGTAATCTCCTTTAAAGCGAGATAATATTAATCTATTATTAAAGAGGTTTATATAAATACTATTAGAAGTATTTTCTATCTTAATTATTAATTTATAGTCTAAAGTCTTCTATTCTTCGTAGGTATATAGCTTATAAAATTATCTTTTAGTATTATTAATAATTTTTATTTCTTTTATTATAGCTAATAGTTTAGTAATATTATCGAAGTTTAGATAGTTTAATACTTAATATTATTTAACGACTATTATTTTATAATAGTTAATCTTCTTAATAATCGCGACTATAGCGATCTCTTTAATAATTATAACTTTTAATAATATAAGTCTTAGCTTATAAAGTATATCTATTAATTCTCTCTTAAGAATAATATTATTATTATCGTTATAAACTCTTAGATAATCTCTTTTTTTAATATAGATAAAGCTATTACGTTAGAATATATCTAAAGAAAGTAGATTTATAAATAGACCTTCGATATAGTAGACGTTTATAAGTATAAGTATATATTCTTTATTCTCGCCGTCGTTATTCTCGATAAGAGTCTTTAATAAAATATTATCTACGATAGTAGTCTTTAATATTCTTTTATTAGTAGTCTCGACTAAGATAAAATTTTCGAGAAATATTAGTTTCTTAATAAAATAGGCTTCGGAATATATTATATAAAATAAGATTATATTATTAAAATATTAGCTATTATTATATAATATCGTAATAGTCTTTATATAGATCGCTTTTACTATTTTTAGTTTTTTAGTAAATTCGATAAAGGTAAGCTTACTAATCTTCTTCTTCTTCTTAAATTTCTTAATATAATTTTTATTCTTTTTAATTTACTTAGCGAAGGCCTAATCGAGATTAGATAGTTAATAAGTTCTATTATAGCGAAAGCTATAGTCGTTATACTTAGATCTAGAAATAATTTTATTATTATTATTATTATTATAATTCTTATCGCCGTTTCTCTTATTCTTATTATTTATAAATATAGTTTTACTATTAGAGTTATTAGTACTAGTTAGTTTTTAATAATATTTTCTATTAAGAAGTTATTCGATAATATAATCGAAATTCAATTTTAATAGTCTTTCTTTAGCGTCTTTATCTTAATTATTTAAAACGATTTTCACGATTAAATTTTAAGATAAGAAAAGTCTATAAAGAAAGAATATTATAATCTTTTAGATATATTAATAATCTAACTTAGCGAGTTTTATTTTAATTTTTTTAATTATCTTAATATACTTAGTAACTTCTTTATAGTCTACTAAGCTTATATAACTAATAATTCTCTATAGTACTTTATAAGAGATATATTTTTTAGATTTATATATATCTTCGAGTACTTTAATTATATTATAGATATTTTAAATATTTATAATATAGATATAACTATCTAATTTAAGAGATATATAAATATTATCTTTAATTTATAAGTTAGCGAACTTCTATTTATTATATTCTTTATTCTCTTATAACTAGATTAATATTTTAGCGAGAATTAAATATATTTCAGCTATTTAATAGTAATTATATATTATTTAATATTAACGATTCTAATTAAATACTCTCTTAAATATAAGAATATTAACTATTAATAAGAATATAGCGAATTTAAAGATCTTCTTAGATCGTAACTTTTTAGACTTTATCTTTATCTTATTAATTCGTTAATTATATAATTACTATTAACTTCCTCTAATATTAGTATAGATATAATAGACTATTAGTATTTACTATCTTTTTATTCTAATTCACTATTATAGCTAAAAGAATATATATTTTTATATTTTTAAAATAATTAAAATAATTAGAATATTAATATATTATTAATATTAATTAAAAGCTTATAATCTCTTAGTATAGTATAGTAGTAGTAATAATAGAAAGTATATAGATTTAGTAATAGGGCTATTAGTTATTATATAGTTATTTCTTTTATAAAAAAGTAATTATATCGTAGCGTTTAATTAATTATTAACTTTTTTATAAAATAATAATTAACGTTAATATAACGTATTCGTTTATAATTTACGAGATTTTTTACTAGATTAATTACTTTTTTATTATTATATTCGATTATTATAAGATCGCGATTTATTATTTTAATTTTAATAAAATATAACGTATTTAAATAAGTTTTTATATAATCTCTAATATAATTATATATTTAATTTTATACGTAAATTTAATTATTATTATTTTATTTAACTAATTTTTAATTAATTAAGTTATCGTTTAATATTATTAATATATTTATTATTAACTTTTTTATTAATAGATTATCGATTTAATTAATATTAGAATAATTAAATAATTATAATATTATCTATACTTCTTTAAACGTAATTTTACGAATCTTAATCTTAATTAAATCTTTTAAATCTTTTTTATATATTTATTAATGAAAAAAATTTAAATTAAATATAAAAATAGTTAATTTATATATAATAAAGATTATATTTAAGCGTATTTAAGTAAATAAATAAATAATCTCTCTTAATTTACTTTTATATATTATAACG